GGTCCTGGAGTGGCCTAGCCAGTCTCCAGACCTTAATCTCATAGAAAATCTGTGGAGGGAGCTGAAGGTTCGAGTTGCCAGACGTCAGCCTCGAAACCTTAATGACTTGGAGAAGATCTGCAAAGAGGAGTGGGACAAAATCCCTCCTGAGATGTGTGCAAACCTGGTGGCCAACTACAAGAAACGTCTGACCTCTGTGATAGCTAACAAGGGTTTTGCCACTAAGTACTAAGTCATGTTTTGCAGAGGGGTCAAATACTTATTTCCCTCATTAAAATGCAAATCAATTCATAACATTTTTGACATGCGTTTTTCTGGATTTTTTGTTGTTATTCTATCTCTCACTGTTCAAATAAACCTACCATTAAAATTAAAGACTGATCATTTCTTTGTCAGTGGGCAAACGTACAAAATCAGCAGGGGATCAAATACTTTTTTCCCTCACTGTACCTCCTGACACACCACCAATGGTGTGTTTATCTCCATATATATAAAAGGCAAAGTTGTGAATATGTGTGTCTGTTCAAAATGTTTAGCGTAATTCCCGACATGCAAGAAACTTTAAATTTGCCATGTGGGTACTTTCCAGACTGTACACCATGCAAAAATTATAAAAATACACTTTTTTTGGGGGGGGAGCTCAATAATGCATATATTTTTTGCACGGCACGTGAGCTGTGACGTCAAATCTGTCACGTGACCCGCGCATGTGGAAGCGTAACGCATTGTAGTGTAGTGGTTAGCGCATCGCGCTACGATCCCGGCGACCCGAGTTCGATTCCCGCTCACGGCCACCACCAGTGTAATTATTTTTACCGGTCCTGGGCCTCCCCTAGGTCGACTCAGCCTCAGCCTCAAACGCGTAACTGGTGTGGTGTGTGAACATCGCCATTGGGGAGACAAAGGCAGCCGGGTGTGGTGAATCCAAGTCCCGGGCGAAGCCGGGTAGTTTAGCTAGTATGATATATAAGATGTCTTGATTTTATAGGTAGGACTATCCTCGTTTACTTTATACTGTAAACTATGGCGATGCCCTCTTTAGTGGCAGGGGCGGAGCCAGGATTTTCAGCCCGGGGTGACATTCAACAAATTTTAAGAATGATTAGAGAGGCAAGCTGTTGAACCAGACGCCATCGGTTGGCGACACACTCTGACAATGCAGTTGCACGGAGTCCGCCAGACCGAGTGTCGTACGCTTATACGTAGAATGTTTCAGATTTTCGATTTTTTTCGGGGGTGACAATTGTCTACCCTGTCACCCCCCTGGCTCCGCCCCTGTTTAGTGGGGGCGAGTTTTTACTCAAACAATAAATTGAATGGAATTAATGAAATGGACCAATGTATACAGAATCAGAATATTTATTTATCCTGGAGGAATCCCATGAGCAATGAAGCTCTTTTTTCAACAGAATGATGTCCATTAGGGGCGGGTGAGAGAGCTGCAGCAACAAAACAACACAACAGCCGCGGTAGGAAAGGTAGCAAGTCACTCGACGTAATTGAGGTTCACAACAGGGGGTGGGGACCGCGTTTTCTTGGCCACACCCAATGAACAATGCGACTGTCTCCCGTGCCAGCAGCGGTGATGGTTAGCGCCGGATTTACAAGTTACTTACGTAACTCTCTCTCTGTATCCATGTCTATTCTCGCACTTACTATGCACGCAGCCCTGGATACGGCAATTTCCATCCCCTACCGTCTCGCTGTGTTTCTCTGTAATTGGTGTTCTCTGTCTCTTTCTCTCTGCCTTTGCACAAGCAGTCGTCGACTTACGAACACTCGAGTGACAAACGGGTTTCCGGAACGAAACCCCGTTCGTAAGTCGAGGCCTGTCGGTATCGCTTTGTCTCTCGTCATCTCTCTACTTTATTTTGTTGTCGACTATGGCGGAGAATCAATCTCGGGTTGCCGAACCCACAACGCAGTGCGCTAACCAATGCGCCACCGCTCTACACTATTCATGAGTACATTTGTTACATTTCTCATCTTTCACTCATTACATAAAACAAAGACATGTACGAAATATAAATAGAGTAACACCACCTTCAAATATCTGTCCCTCCACATAAAAATATATAGGATTGTTTTACACATCCCACAGCCATATGACCGTTCTGTGAGTGCATAATTTCAGCAGCATTGGTTCAACATAAGCAACACTCTGGACCGGTTCGACATTCAGTGTCTCATCGGCAGTCAGGCTCGCTTGAACCAATGCTGGTGACCAGCCAGATGCCTGTAGGCAAGGAGAGTATTATTAAAAGGGCGCTACGAATCTTAACAGCGTTTATTGAAGCTCTGTCGTCCCAACAGGTCTGTCCCTTTCACCTGAAGAAGGCCACTTGTGTTGTGGCCGAAACGTCGTGAGAATTTAATTGTTTTATTTTATTATTTTATTCTCATTCTACTTTACCGAAAGAACCAAAGAAGATTAATCCTTGCAGTCACGAAAGCTTTAAATCGAGAGTATTATTGTTATATATGGGTCCGAGTTTGACACAACTCTCTATAGCAATACACAGCACAAGACAACGATTAAGCACCGTTGCGGCGAACGAAATTGGGAGACGCATTGGGGAATTACCAGGAAAGCACAAAGGGTGATTTGATAGTTACGAGACAGACGCCTGAGTACACGGATTGTCAATGTTTCATTGTCACTCAGATTCTCCATAACGACGCTTATGATTGTCTTGTGCTAAGACAGCGCGTGTTTTTTAGGGGGTCCCTTATGGTTGTTTTGAGGAGGCGATGGCCTTAAAGCGATGGTATTGACGATGTGTTCTTTGATGTTAATGTTTAGACAGACGTTAGCCCTTGTTGTTGATTACACGAATCCGCAGACAAATCTCATTCCTGCGTCAGCAACATTGGAGCCACTCAGCCCCTTCTTTTGAAACGGCAGCAGCAAGAGGGCCGGGTGGATAGCGAACTTCGGATGGGACTGGTTAAACATAAACGGGAGTGAGCAGCAGGCAGCAGCGGGTGGCAGCAGTAATAACGACCACGTTGCCTTGAATAATAAAGCTATCGTGTCAACTTGTAACGCGCCGCCCCAGAGTGCTCACTCGCTCTTGTAGAGAGAGACGGAATGAGGAGGAAATACAGGCGAAGCGGGAAGGCAGCAGTTGCAGCTGCCAACAATTCCCAAGCTCTGCGGTCCTCTATGTATTATAGTCTTATTGTCCAATTAACGAGTGTTTATACACGTGGGAGGAAACCGGAGCACCTGGAGAAACCCCACGCGTGCGAGGGAGAAACACTATATGCCATACAGACGGAACAGGTGGAGTCCATAGGTTCGCGGTACTGCCCTCTACTGACAAGCCAGGGTATGGCACCACCTCGACGCCTACAGGAAGGAAGTTTCACAACATCGGCGTGCGGTGATCCACCAACCCTCACTGCCTCCACAGTGCTGGATTACAGGCAGCTACGTGCAGGACAACCACCACCTGGCTAAAGAGGCCTAGCAGCCAATGTGTATAGCTACTGCGGGTGCAAAATGGGTAGAGGGGCAGCCCTGCAATTTCTGGCTTACACCACTGCTGGCGGAAGGGCTTCCGGCCAGTAGAGGGAGCCCAAGGGCCCCTCTATGGGGACATTTGATCTACTCGTCCACACTGGTCAGACGTCTTGATGACATGGACGTTATCCACTGTAATTCGCCGCCGTTTCCGGGTGACTCCTCTGATCCGTGAAGTCACCGTGGATAAGAGGAGCGCTATTATCTCGCGGATAATAACAGTCTTCGTGGACAGATTCTGGCCACGGATAACAAGATTTATGGGTCTTAGCGTGGTGGAGACCGCCCACTTCTCGCATCCACACTTTATTCCACCACACGTGACCTGTCGATACACCAATGTATACAGAATCAGAATCTTTATTTTATCTTGGAGAAATCCGATGAGCTTTGCTCTTTTTCACAGATGTCCAGAAAAGGCAGTTCAGAACGTTACAACAAACAGTACACAAAAACGATAGGAGTGCCAAGTATAGGAAAGGTAAGCAAATCACTAAACATATATAAATATACTAAAACTTAAGTACAGTATTTTTATTTTACCAGATAAACCCCACTGAGCTATAAGTTATTTTTCAGACGCCACCTGACCACAAATTATAGCTCAACGAAGTGGCTCATCATGTGGAAATATACAGCAGCCAAATAATAAAATCCTGCCAGGTGGGCAAGTGGTAGGGGGATTTAATAAACATTTTCCTGTCCTGGAGCATCATCCAAACGTTCATCCCGTTCACAATCTTAGCACTGTCACTTCTCTCTCTCTCGGCCTGTCTCCGATGCTTCCGCGTACATCGCATTGCTTCTGCTGACCTGATTTCCTTCTCTCCTCGCAACACGTCCCCTAGACAAGTGGGTCTTAACATGTACTGCAGCCTGCGCTCCTTTAGTTCTCAGAAAGGGCATTTCGAAATTCCTGGGAGTGCGAGGTGCCCTTTTCTGGGGGTGCGAGACATGGCCAGATTTTTTTAATAAGGTAAATCATTGACAACACAAATTCAGCACGGGCACGTAAGTACAACTATTTTGTTTCATCAAACCTATTTATGTATTAACATTATACATTTTTTTTTACGATTGAGAACCAAATGGGTGCAGGCTGCAGTTAAGAACCACTGCCCTCGACCGTTGCAGAGTTGGTCGGTAAGTTCGACTTTCATTCGATACTCGCAACCGCATAACCCACACGTCTCAAACCAACTGCTGCAATGTGAAGCTGGCCAGTTGTGAATTATTTCACAACAATCAACATTCTCATGTGAATCATATTTAAATGTGTGTGGAAAACGAATAGACGATCCCGTACACTCGTGTTATCGCACTGATGGGAATGAGCAGGCAAACCAGCCGTCTGAGTCGGCTTTCTCTCCGCTTGTCCGCGATTGGGTTCATTCAGTGGACACTACTTGCACTCAGTGCGATTAATGATTAGACAATTACCGTTATATTTAACTCAGTAGTTGTAGAGAAAACGTGGTTACGTTGCACACTAGTTTGCTTTAAACCTTTGGACATTTCGTGAATCGAGCGACATCCGGAAATTGTGTGCGTTGCAGTAAGCTTTGACACCTCTGAAGGGTAAGTGGAATTATACCTATGCTTAATAAACATTATAAATATGTAATGTTAATGATGTTTTTCGTAAAAGCCAATTGAATCTCAAGACTATTTTGTAGGAGGGTCCATCACTGGGATAATTGGCTAATTCTAGTCAATGGGAACTGTGCGAGTATAAGAAACCTGGTGGTGGTCAAAGGTAAAGGCGCAACCCTGCAATTTATTGCTCTGGCCGCGACTGGCGGAAGAGTCTTCGCTAGAGGGAGCTCTAGAGAGCCCCTCTAGAGCCTATTCTGGTCTACTTCTCCATGCTGGCGCAGGTCATGGGTTCGATTCCGACCCTGACGTCTGCTCTTTATTTGGGGTTTGCGTGTCTCACTCCTCGTCATCGCGTGGATTTTTCTCCAGGTCCGCCAGTTTTTACCTCCACATTTAGAATCAACATCACGCGTTCAGAGTATTTGGCTGCTATAAATGTGCACACGATGATAAGCCCACTTACCTGGTGAAATAAAAAAGAAATAGTATAAATTGTTCAATAGACCTCTTGAATGAGTTCGGGGTGCGCACGCTTTGCCCACCCACGCTTTACCCACCCACACTTAACCCACCGACACTTTACCCCACCATACTTTACCCCACCATACTTTACCCACCCACCATTTACCCCACCACACTTTACCCAGCCACACTTTACCCACCCACACTTTACCCACCCACACTTTACCCACCCACCCTTTACCCACCCACATTTTACCCCACCCAAACTTTACCCACCCACACTTTACCCACCCACACTGTACCTACCCACACTTTACCCACCCACACTTTACCCACCCACACTTTACCCACCCACACTTTACCCACCCACACTTTACTCACCCACACTTTACCCACCCACACTTTACCCACCCAAACTTTACCCACCCACCCTTTACCCACCCACCCTTTACCCACCCACGCTTTACCCACCCACACTTTACCCACCCACACTTTACCCACCCACACTTTACCCACCCACACTTTACCCACCCAAACTTTACCCACCCACCCTTTACCCACCCACCCTTTACCCACCCACGCTTTACCCACCCACACTTTACCCACCCACACTTTATCCCACCACACTTTACCCACCCACACTTTATCCCACCACACTTTACCCACCCACACTTTATCCCACCACACGCGGACATTAGCATCCATGGGACTATCCACACGAACTTACTCTCACTTGTCCTTGAGGAACTACACTTTGAAGTGTGTTTATTTTCCGTGTTTATTTCAAGTATTTTGTATTTGGCATCGACAAGACAATCTTTAAATACACAACAGGCATGTTCAGGGTCTGGATCGAACCCTCGACATCCAGCATACCAGGAAAGAAAAATAACTCGCCATATTTTATAAACGATAACCCTCCACCACCCGACAGAGCCACTCAAACAAAGTTGTCACGACATGAGTAAATGTGACGACCGTTTGAGTTGTTTTCAGTAAACCGGAGGAAGGTTGAAAAGCAACCAAGATGTTGTAAATTTTTGTACGAAGTTGCACTGGAGATTACAATCAGCGTCGTGAGGTGTTTATTTAAAAAAACCTCAGCTATCGCGAGCGACCTACCTACACTATCCGACCCAAAATCAACTAATTATAATCAATGATGAGATTGGTCCTGACAGCCTACATGCAAAATTTTACAGAGACACCTTCAATGCTTAATAAAAAAACGTGATGTTAAAACTAACGAATATTTGTATTTCTTTGATCATCAAAAAGAGTAATTCGATCATAATAATGTCACGGTTTTTTTTCCTTGAACAGCACCGCGTCAATTTCGTGAAATTTGGTACTGACTTCGTCGCCATGCAAGGACTACCATACATGCTGGGACCAGAATGTTTGGCCACGCTCTACAGTGACAGTGCCATAAAGTTAATCGAGAGACACTTCAAATTGGTGACTTTAAAAGATGTGATGGGAAACGACGACTTGGCCCAAAAGATCGAGGCCATCGGCATTTTCTACTGGGAGCCGCGGGTCACCAAGGACCTCCTGGAGAGTCTGCCGAAGCTCAAGACGGTGGCGAGCGCCGGGGTCGGGGTGGATCATCTGGATCTGCCTCTCCTGTGGAGCCACGGAGTCTCCGTGTCCTACACTCCCGACGTCGTCAGCGCCCCTACCGCCGACATGGGCATGGCGCTCCTGCTCGCCTCTGCCAGGAATCTGGTGGATGGTATATTATTGTTTTCACTAGCCTTGTGCCCGTCCAAGGACTGATGTATTTCAGTAAATCTTAAACTTGCAAGCGTGATAGTCATTGCATCAATTCGTGTGTAATTTGTAAGACCGACTTATTTCACAGACAGACTTATTTCAATTTAAGGTTGTAATCCCTTGTTCATCATGACGTCTTTTTTACTTCGATGTCTCAACAGCAGCGTGACGGAGATCACGTGACGTGAGCGTTCTGCCTTTGTAGTGAGGGTTGTCAGTTGACGCCGAGGAGGGGGGAGGAGGCGCCTCGCCCCCCCATGTGGAGTGACGTCACCCGCTAATTAATATTAATGGCGGCGGGGGGGGGTCTATATGGAAGACGTCACCTCTTCATGATTATTAATGTGGGGGGCTGTTCTATGTGGAATGACGTCACCTGCTCATGATTATTAATGAGGGGGGGTGCTACATGTGGAGTGACGTCACCCACTCATGATTATTAATGAGGGGGTCGTCCATGTGGAGGGCGTTGCCTGTTCATGATTATTAATGAGGGGGGCTGACCGACGTGTAGTGACGTCACGCGCGGGACACACAGACATTCTTGACTCATTATAGTAGTAAATAATTGTTTTGATGCAAAGCGAAACGTCTCGAAAGAAGCCCAAAACCTCAAAGAGGTAGGTGAGTGTGTTGTTGTAACCTGCGGTGCGGTAAGTGGGTCTGTGGGTGATTGAGTGGGTGAGTGTGTAGTTTTGACCTGCGGTGTGGTGAGTGAGTGGGTCTGTGGGTGATTGAGTGGGTGAGTGTGTAGTTTTGACCTGTGGTGTGATGAATGAGTGGGTCTGTGGGTGATTGAGTGGGTGAGTGTGTAATTTTGACCTGCGGTGTGGTGAGTGTGTGGGTCTGTGGGTGATTGAGTGGGTGAGTGTGTAGTTTTGACCTGCGGTGTGGTGAGTGAGTGGGTCTGTGGGTGATTGAGTGGGTGAGTGTGTAGTTGTGACCTGTGGTGTGGCGAGTGGGTCTGTGGGTGATTGAGTGGGTGAGTGTGTAGTTTTGACCTACGGTGTGGTGAGTGAGTGGTGGGTCTGTGGGTGATTGAGTAGGTGAGTGTGTAGTTGTGACCTCCGGTGAGGTGAGTGGGTCTGTGGGTAATTGAGTGGGTGAGTGTGTAGTTGTGACCTGCGGTGAGGTGAGTGAGTGGGTCTGTGGGTGATTGAGTGGGTGAGTGTGTAGTTGTGACCTGCGGTGAGGTGAGTGACTGGGTCTGTGGGTGATTGAACGGGTGTGTGTGTAGTTGTGACCTGCGGTGTGGCGAGTGAGTGGGCCAGTGGGTGATTGAGCGTGTGTGTGTGTAGTTGTGACCTGTGGTGAGGTGAGTGGGTCTGTGGGTGATTGAGTGGGTGAGTGTGTAGTTGTGACCTGCGGTGTGGCGAGTGAGTGGATCTGTGGGTGATTGAGCGGGTGAGTGTGTAGTTGTGACCTGCAGTGTGATGAGTGGGTGATTGAGTGGGTGTGTGTGTAGTTGTGACCTGCAGTGTGGCGAGTGAGTGGGTCAGTGGATGATTGAGTGGGTGTGTGTGTAGTTGTGACCTGCGGTGTGGCGAGTGAGTGGGTCTGTGGGTGATTGAGTGGGTGAGTGTGTAGTTGTGACCTGTAGTGTGGTGAGTGGGTCAGTGGGTGATTGAGTGGGTGAGTGTGTAGTTGTGACCTGCAGTGTGGCGAGTGAGTGGGTCAGTGGATGATTGAGTGGGTGTGTGTGTAGTTGTGACCTGCGGTGTGGCGAGTGAGTGGGTCAGTGGATGATTGAGTGGGTGTGTGTAGTTGTGATGGTAGTGTAGCGGTTAGCGCGCTGCACTAGGAACCTGGCGATCCGGGTTCGATTCCCGCTCACTGCCAAAACCAGTGACAATTATCTGAACCGATCCTGGGCCTCCTCTAGATCGACTCAGCCTCAAATGAGTACCTGGTGCGGTGTGTGTAATATCGCCACCCACCCCTCGTGTGCCATGCCGGCCTTTATAATAGGTGCTCGCTAACATCACTTGCCCCAACAGTTTGTTCAGGCTATACGGGGAATATTTGTCTTTGTGTAGCTGTGGCCTGCAGTGTGGTGCCGGTTGAACAATGTGGATGATGAGACGAAGCAGTCAGTCTGCTAGACCGAGTCCTCACCACGAGGGTGGAGTTTGCCGTTCACAGGAACAGTGCTTGCGGTATATTCTTGGTTCTTTCGTCACGTAGAAGAATATAAAACAAGTGCTCGCGGTAGTCACGATAGAAGTGGTCATAATTCACAACGACGATTCCACGATCACGGAGATTCTGACAGTTGTTATCTGTGTATTGCTGTACATGAACGTTGTGCTCTCGATGTCTCCTACACGTCCTCGCTACCGTAACTTTCACAAGTTTAGGGCCTATGACTTCACAAAAAGAATTTTCCAACGAAGGTTGCAAGCATTAATGCATCCAGTCGGTCCGTGTGTTTGTCTGAACAGAAAGGCACGACGACGATCATGAACATGGTTTAATATGAACGAAGCTTTAGTGTGAGCTTCTGTTGCTATTAGGGACTTAACTTACAAAAGCAGTGCTAAATTATTTACATGCCAGTGCTAAAACGATTCACAAAACCAGGCCAAAAATTATTCACAAAACCAATTCTAAAAGCACGCAACTACCTCCCTTCCCCCCACCCCATGGCGCAATTACGTGACGTCATATCGTGATGTCATACATTGTGCACCGTGTCGACGTCACCTGGTTGTGCAGCTTGAACCGTGACGGTATCGATGACCAAATCATTTTTGAGGACGAACGTCCGTTGGAGAACGTTCCAGAATCCGGCCACGTGCATGGTTTCTGTATTCCTTGCTTATTGCTCACATGCTTCAGTGTCCATTTGTGTTCATTGCAGATGTCTTAATTACTTTGAAATTACAGTGTAATAAAACAAGTATGTATTTTTTTGTTCCTGGGTAGTAAGTATTATTTTCCAATTGCTTATGCCTCAAAAGTACAGAAAGTGGCTATTATTCCCCACAAACTTTGCTTTTGTGACCAGGACAGTGATATTTTGAAATTTACCTATTTTCAATGAGAAAACGTGGTGTGCATTTGTGTCATTTCTTCACGCAAAGTCCTGGTCACAAAAGCAAAGTTTGTGGGGAATAATAGACATTTTCTATACTTTTGAGGCATAAACAATTAGAAAATAACACTTACTACCCAGGAACAAAAATCGTGTTACGTAGTTTTATTTATCGTGTTACTCTTTCTCCACAACGACGCAAATAATGATTTTGTGTTGTGTGTTACTGTATAGCGTTGTGTTGAATTAGGACCAATACCTTACACGGAGGGTCCCTGCCTATAAACGTCTGGCATTTCGCCAGCAAACCTAACTGCTGATGAGACACTAAATGTGTAAACCGATCGAAGGTTTTGCTTGTGTTGCTGAAATTATGCACTTTCAGAAGGGCCCTGTGGCTAATGGGATGTGTAAAAGAATACTTTATTTGGTTTTTATATGTGGATGGACAGGACATAGGAAGGAAGGCGAATTGTCTGAAAATGAATCTTGTTGCTAAATGCGTAGTTCTGTTGATTTCTCGCCAGGTGTCTCCCTTACAAAGTCACAAATGTTTACGGCCAAGGACCGGAGCTTTGTTGGAGTGGACGTCGATGGTGCTACCCTGGGCATCTTGGGCATGGGCCGCGTTGGCCGTTTGGTGGCAGAGAGGGCCCGCGGTTTCCGCATGGACATCCTGTACCACAACCGCACAAGGAGGTATGGCGTAAGTGGTTAATCGGAGTTCATTTATCCGGCATCGTTTCAATCGTGATCATAGTTTAACACGTAGTAGTAGTACGCTTTCACGACCACAGTTATCCATGAAAGTTTTTTTTTTGGGTTATATCGCGTAAATATAAATGTATCGTTAAACCCGCCACCACCCGACAAAGCCATTTCGTAAGGTTTGTCGTGTAAAGAGAACGTGCAAATTCGTTACTAGTTCAGCACACCGGCGTGTTGGAGAGTAAACCCACAACATTTACCATTCGAGTGCCGTGACGTTTCGCCGGTAATTATTAGTAGTCATAGTCTTAATCGGCGATGGCCTGTGGGATTTATAGTCCAGGTTTGGTCTGTGGATTTCATTGAGTTGCGACTAAAGTAGGCAAATATTTAGTCAGACACTCTTAGTTATTCAATGTTGGCGTGAGGGGTGCACAATTCCCTATGCCCCCACCTCCCCACCACCCTCCACCCCCCTCAATATTATCAGGTCCACCAGGCAGTCAACTTGGTAAATCTTGTTTTCTTCTTCTGACAAAATCTGACAATGGAAAGTCTAGTTCGGCTCTGTGGCTTCCTGAGATGCTGAGTGGAGAAACAGGAAGCGTCTCTCACAACAGATGTCAGTGCTGGGCAGCTCGATGCGATGGCTTCCACGGTCCGGGACTCGCGGCCACAGTCGCTCTTGGGTGTTACAACCCCCCTCCCCCCGTGTCCTGTTGTGTGAAGTCGGTCGATTGCCGTCCGCTGACTTCGAGGCAGGTCGAAGGGAGGGACCTCTGCTGATTGTCATTTATGAGGTGTCGGTTCTCTATGTTGCATGTGTTGTCCCACGATTCCGTCCACCTGGATAATGGGTGGATAATGACGTTTGGAGAGCTTAATGGAGTTTGAAAGAACTCACAAACAAACACATTATGAAAGAGCCAACGCAGAAGATCCCTGGGATTGATCTTCCACGAAGCTCATGGTCCACAGTAAACCGCATCTGCACAAATATTGGCTGATGCTGATACTTGATGCATATATTAGAAACTCTCAGGTGTGCGACTGTGGTCATCTAGAACAACGTATAATGACGCAATGCTCGATTCACAAATACGAAGGAGACATCACAGCGATGATACACTCCACTGCTCCTGACGCGATTATCTAGACTTGACCACCTGAATATAAAATTGTAGTTATTGCTCTGCAACTACATCAGCCATACAAAAGATGAAGAATCCAAGTCAGACTCGTTTAGAAACAGATTCCAACCACGAAACTACCTAACCATTATACGCAGACCTTTGTTCTGTGTCTCAATGTATGAATAATATATTTTAAGTTATTGGGCTATTGGTTTTCCAGACCAATATTATCCAGCAGCATTTATTATCAGCCTAATGGAAAAAAACTGGCCAATAACTAAAACACGTGCTACCAACTGATTGGGGAATTGTAGTTTGTTGCTCTGTACCGATATCAACAGCCATACGAAATAAGAAAAATAAGAAACTGATGATGATGGGTCGGTGCTCGCTGTCGTGGTTATTGGCTGCCGTTTCCCAGGATGTCCGGCGTGATCGTGAGCGCGTTCGCGGGTTGGAGTTCTGATCACCGTGGATCATCGCTTCCCCCTCTGCTCTGAACCTTGTGCGGTGTTCTTCCCTACCTCGCATGCGGTGTACCACGACTACATCCACCTGGATAATGGGTCGATGATAAAGTGTGGAGAGCTGAATTGAGTGCAAAAGGGAATTCACAAACAAAACACCTCGTGGCGCGGTGGCGTCGCGGTGGCATGGCCGGCGGGATGACGTGGCACAGCGCCAGGAACCACTCAGTTGGGGTGGACTTCAGCATCCTTGACTCCGTCCTCATGGCGGTGTTCAGCTGCACTTCTAGGATCTCTGTGTGGCGGTTGCTGGGCCGTGAGGCGAAGCGGTGGTCTACAGCAGGGTGGACAGGGCCACTGTTCTGACTGTGCCCCCCCCCTCACACCCCCGATGACGTTCCAGCGAGTTGAGGTTCGCCTCCTGGTTGTTACTTTGTGGCCGGGTGCTGGTGAGATGTGGGCCGATCGGTGAGAGTCATATTCAGGGTGACGCCCAGGGGTTTTGGGTGGGTTTTGTGGTTCAGACGCCTTTCCGCGAGAGCAGGTGTAGCCCTCAAACTTGTTTGGCATTCTGCACCACTCAGGCGACGCAAACAGAATCAGAATATTTATACTGGAGGAATCCTATGAACTATAAATCTATTTTTCACATTTCTGCAGACCATCCAGCCCCACACCCCTGGTGACAAAATGCGTTCCCTTCTCTCTCTAAATACCAGTAATAAAAATGATTATTATTACCGGAACATAACAAAAACATCTTTTACACGCAGCTATGATGCCTAACTTAATTTTTTAATTGAATAACATAAGTAAAATATAAATTAATTGCCCGAAACAAAAACATTGTTTCCGGATCAACCTGCATTTGCATCACAGTCCGGTTGAACACCTGCAGGAGCGTCACGGTCTTTATGCTTGGATGGAATGCACCATTCTACTGTGGATCTTGTTGTCGACTGGACACACGTAACCAATGAACATGTTTGGTCTGCCTCAGTGCACGGCAGTCTCGAGTAACGTTACTAAATTGTCCTAGCCTGCATACAAAAAAACTGAGGCATATAGCTCTTTTTCAGAAGCGACCTGGCCATAAATGATAGCTCAATGAAGTCGCTTATTATGTGTAAATCTATAGCAGCCATATTTCTAAACGTGGAAGGAAAAACCCGAGGACCCAGAAGAAAATCCGCGTGACCACGGGAAGAACATACAAACTCCAAATATACAGGTGTCAGGGTCAGGATAGAACCCACGACTCTCCTGTATACCAGGCGAGGTAGTTAACGTCTCTTAGCCACCGTGGCACCCCCATAGTTAGTCAATGTCACCTCGTTGGTCGTGCTTTGGTTTATGGCGGGCAGTCTTCGTAGTCATCCACGCACTCGATGAGTTTTGTCAACTCATGATGCTGACTGAGCTAATACAAAGCTGTCAATCCAAACGGGTTACCCCGTATTCTTGTACAGGGCAATTGAGTTTTCAGGTCCATACGGCATATAGCCATTTCAATACGGGCAAAAATAAATCATATTTTTGTCTATTTATTTTTGATCTTGATTTGAAGCTCTCGTGACTGCAGGAATCCATACGCTCTGTTTTTTTCGGTAAAGTCACGTAGATAGAAAATAAATAGATACAAAATAAAACACGACGTTTCAGTCGCAACACAAGTGTCCGTCTTCAGGTGAGAAAAAAATTATCTGTTGTGGCTTTATATAGGCATGGGAGGGGGGAGGGAAGGGGGGGAGTTTGGCTGTAGGAGTTAGGCACAGGAGGGAAGAGGGAAGGAGGGAAGGAGTTTGGCTGTAGGAGTTATGCACGGGAGGGGGGAGGAAGGAGGGGGAAGGAATTTGGCTGTAGGAGTTCACAGGGGAGGGGAGGGTTTGTGGCGTGCAGGGACGGGTGGGGCTGGAGAAATTAGCAAGTAAATGGACTTGTAGTAATCGGACAACAAGACACACGGGTGGGTGAGTGAAATCATAGCAGTTAAAACTTGACGCGGTTGATCACATCCATCCAATGATTGCTCAATCTGAATCCATCTTCTCGATTAAAGTTTTGTTTGTGTTTGAATATCTGGATGGCTTCATGACAAATCTCTGATGGTGGCCCGAGGGTTTGCAGAGCACCTTGGTCTCGGAGAAAACAATGTCATGTGTGCCCACAGAGTTGAAACAATGATCCGCCGAGGAGTTGGTTCTGCCGTGTTTCAAATCCGCTTTGTGTTCGCGAACCCTGTCTGAGACACGTCGCTTCGTTTCACCAATGTTACTGCTGCCGCAGACACAACTCAGCTTATAGACACCAGGACATTGCATGTCTAACTCCTACAGCCGAACTCCTTCCCCCCCCCCCTCCCGTGCCTATATAAAGCCACAAGAGCAGATCATTTTTTTTCTCACCTGAAGACGGACGCTTGTGTTGCGACCGAAACGTCGTGTTTTTATTTTTTTATATCTGCGTGACTTTACCGAAAGAACCAGAGAGTATTTGTTTTTGTTTCTCCCTTGTGATGGGATTTTGTAGGATGAACGTTGAGATTTATAAGGGAATGGGGTGACCAATAAGGTCTGAATTGGTCTGTAATAAGCTAGGCACTGATCAGGGCTTGACAGGTATGTATTGGTTGAGTGTAGTGGTGAGTGTAGTAGTGGTGATTGTCTATTTGTTTGTGTTTCTCCCTTGTGCTGGGACTTTGTAGAATGAACGTTGAGATTTATAAGGGTACGGGGTGACCAATAAGGTTTGAATTGATCTGTAATAAGGTAAGGCACTGATAAGGGGTTGACAGGTTTGCTAATGTTGAAAGGGGCAGGGCGCCATCGTGTGCATGGGTCGTTGATATTTTTCAGACCATTGGATGAGGAGACAGGCCTGGGCGCCGTCTACTGCCAGAAGCTTGAGGAGCTCCTGGGGAAGTGTGACTTCCTCATGGTCACAGTCACCCTGAATGCAGAGTCCATCAAAATGATCGGGAGAAGAGAACTCAAGTTAATGAAGACTAATGCTACCATCATCAATGTCGCCAGAGGTATTAAAAGCTGTCATATGATCGCACGTTCTTAATGATGTGTGTAATTTCATGATCCTCGCGACGTTCGTGCTGTTGTGATTTTTATGAATCCCCGCATGATATCTCAACGTAATGCTGATGGCCAGGCAAAGTGATAGACCAAGAGGCTTTGGTGGAGGCCCTGCAGAACAAGTGGATCAGAGCAGCAGCTTTGGATGTCACTGACCCCGAGCCACTACCCAGGTAACACTGCACAAATTTCACAGCAGTTACCCAACACCTACCTCTTCACTACTCTTCTTCCTTGCATTTCTTATGTGGTCTCTCCACCCCACTTTGTCCACTCACTCCAATGCCAGTCCATCATCTCCACGTCCACTCCACAGTCCTTGCACGTCCAGGTTCACCACCTGGAACCACCTCTCTCGAGGCCCTGCCTCAGTCTCTGCCCCGAGGCTTCCATGTTCTTCACCGTGTGGTTTTCCTCTCTTAATACAACACGTTCCCACCTAGCCGTCTGAGTCGACTCTCAACTTCTCTGAGGCTGGTGAATCTTCACTAATAACACTACGTTAGAGCTATTACACGAAACAGACATAACAAACAATAAAATAATAAATATATAAAACAATAAAATGCTCACGACATTTCAACTGCACCACAAGCAATCATCATCAGGTGTGAATACCACAACAAGAAAATTTGAAAAAAGTAGCGTTTTTTTTTCTTTAACGTTAGCACCACGGATAGCGATTTGACAGTTTGTTCAGATGGACGAGTCCATCTATCTTCTTTGGTTCTTTCGGTAAAGTCACGTAGAATAAGAATAAAATAATAAATTGATAAAATAAAATAACACAATAATATTCTCACGACGTTTCGGCCACAACACAAGCGGCTTTCATCAGGTGAAGGGACGTCCCTTCACCTGATGAAGGGACGTCCCTTCACCTGATGAAGGGACGTCCCTTCACCTGATGAAGGCCGCTTGTGTTGTGGCCGAAACGTCGTGAGAATATTATTGTGTTATTTTATTTTATCAATTTATTATTTTATTCTCATTCTATGTGACTTTACCTAAAGAACCAAAGAAGATGAATCCTTGCAGTCATGAAAGCTTTAAATCGGAGTCCATCTATGTTCGGAAAAGAGGAGGGGGGAGACGAAAAATAATGAATGCGGTCTGAAAGCCACCGTAAGCGTGATCAATCAATTAAGACCTGAAATGGTTTATCAAATCCTTCCAATGATTGCTAAGCCAGAATCCATCTTATCGGTTGAAATTGTCTCTGTGTTTGTATATGTGGATAGCCTCATGAACGAATCTCTCATGGTAGCCAAATGGTTTGCAAAGAACCTCTGTCTTGGAGAAGTCAATGTCATGTGAACCTACTGAATTATAACAGTGATCTGCCACGGCCGAGGTGTTGGTCCTACCGTGTTTCAGGTCTGCTTTGTGTTCACAGATGCGGTCCGAGACATGTCGTTTGGTTTCTCCAATGTAACTACTACCACAGAGGCAACTTAGTTTGCAGACGCCAGGGTACTGTATGTCCGGAATCACATCTTTAACAAGATCTTTTACAAGATGTGATTCCGGACATAAAGTACCGTGGCATCTATATACTAAGTTGCCTCTGTGGTAGTAGTTACATTGGAGAAACCAAACGACATGTCTCGGACCGCATCCGTGAACACAAAGTAGACCTGAACATGGTAGGACCAACACCTCGGCCGTGGCAGATCACTGATCACGCTCACGGTGGCTTTCAGACCGCATTCATTATTTTTCGTCTCCCCCCTCCTCTTTTCCGAAGATAGATGGACTCGTCCATCTGAACAAACTTTCAGATCGCTATCCGTGGTGCTAACGTAAAAAAAAAACGCCACTTTTTTCAAATTTTCTTGTTGTGGTTTTCACACCTGATGATGATTGCTTGTGTTGCAGTCGAAACGTCGTGAGAATTGTATTGTTTTATATTCTTATTATTTTATTGTTTCCCTTCTACGTGACTTTACCGAAAGAACCAAGAATATGAATCCCTGCAGTCACGAAAGCTTTAAATCAAGACATAACAAAATATAGATATGGCATGATCGCCATGGTAAGCATTACAAACTCTTAGTTATATCCATGTCGATGGCATATTACCATCATAACACTGTGCTACTGATTCACAAAATACTGTAACGCCAAAGTCTGATGGGGAGTGAAGCGCTGGTGGTTAACATGCTGAGCTATGAACCCAACGAGCCGAGTTCGACTCAAGGCCACAGCTAACATCATTGGTGACAGATATCTCAGATGCTATGGTTCTTTCGGTAAAGTCACGTAAATAGAAAAAGAATAATAAAATAATACAAATTAAAAATACAGTGAATACATTTTTAGTTTTTATATATATACATTTTTATACTCGTAGGAACCTCTGGTTACACCAGCCCACAGGGGATTATTGTGTCTGTCCGTCGTGCATCCAAAAATGGGAGGGGTGGGGCTGGGTGGAGAGGAGAGGAGCTGGGTGGGGAGGGGCTGGTCACCCCGTGGTGCCCTTATAAAACTCAACGTTTAACCTATTCACGCCGGCTTGTGCCCGCCCTCACAGTCGGGCATATTTTCGGAATACACCACGCCGCCATTGACCCTGGCCATTGACCGAGCAACCCAACGTTCCTACCAGCTCCCTCCGCAGGAATGTGTTTCACTTTATTTTTTATTTTATTATTATTTTATCTACGTGACTTTACCGAAAGAACCATTGAATATTAATTCCTGCATTCACGAAAGTTTTTAGTCAAAGATATCTCAGAATCAGAATATTTATTTAGATTGCAGGTGTAATCCGATGAGCTATGAAGCATCTCTTTCACAGATGTCTGGTATGGGTGGGTCAGCAAGTTAACAATAACAAACAATACGGCAATATATCTGAACCAATCCTGACCCTCCCAACAACTGCCATTCGCCACTAAGTGGCGGTGATGTCACCACGATGCTTGTGCCAGGCTATGTGCACGTTGAGTCCACGTGAAGTGTCGAACGCCCGCTGGCAGGTCACGGGGCGGACCCAGCAGGTGCCACGGGTCGACTGACTGAGATGACTGGCCCCTCCCAACCCCCACCCCTTCACCAACCTGTATTGATCAATGTGGTGAAGTATGGTCAGACAGGGATATGTGTCAAACGCGATTGCAAGTGCATTGACAGCACGGCACTGACTTTAGATTCAGATGCAAGAAGGCCATTCCCATCAGACACACTTTCCTTTATGCACCGATTTACTTTACTGCCCCGCGTTGAGCGACGAGTTACGAGCACGGACCCCCTGCGAGGTGCTCTCGTGCCAAACGTCACCAGTGAGGTCCTCTATTGCTGACGTCCCCTCCCAAGGGACCATCCCCTGCTGCAGCTCCCCAACGTCATCGTCACCCCGCACCTGGGCGTTGACACGGAGGGGGCGAGACGCGCCATCGTCGAGGCGGTGGTTGAGAACGCACTGGCGGGCGTGCAGGACCGTCCCATCCCCTGCGAGCTCTCCCCTCGTCGCGCCTGAGACGCGTGCCTCTTCATCGTCAGCGGAAGCCGGCGGCGCGCGCCGCAATGGGGGATTTCGTATCAGGAGGTAAAGGTGCAGCCCCGGCAATTGCTGGCTCATGTCACCGCTAGCGAAAGGGCCTCCACTAAAGGGAGCTCAAAAGGGCGTATTGTTGGCCTACTCTTCCACGCTGGCCAGACGTCATGCAAGAGGTGGTAGTTACCCACACTTTACCCCACCACAAGAAACATTTCCTAATTATGTTAAAGTTGAAAAGTGTTAAGTCCAGGGATTAACTTCAGTCGGGTCTGTTCCGGTCGACGAACCCAGGAAACACTTCTACAACCAGCACACCACATCCAGTATATATCTCGATGCAGGGCTTTGGCTACTCGTCGTGTGCCATCTCCTGGTCTACCAGCGATCAAGACGAAATTCAGTGAGAAATGAAGCTCTGGTTAAGTATATTTCATACGAGGCAGCGGGTGTTGCTGATGATTTGGCACATGCATATTGCACAAAGTGTTTATTGTAATCGCCGGCTGAACGTTGCTGTGCACAGAGACTGACTCCAATTATTTCATGTTTTATTTTAATGCTACCCAATTTTTCAGAACTGTTACATTTAATAACAATTGCCTTTGATTCAACTCACCATTAATTGTTTACAGCTGATATGTAAAAGAGTACAAATGATTTTAATGTGACGGCGTGTTACGAAAACATAAAATCATAACCTTTAATTCAAAAAGTTATTTGATAAAGCGGAACTGTGTGCACAATAAAATATCCGGTAAATTGCAAACGCTGTTGGCACTTGACTGCAAATTACCAACACAGTCTGATTGACGCAGACGATGAAAGGGAGAGAAAATGTTGAACACTGCCCTATTGGATCATGGTATCGTTTACGATGTGACATTTGAATAAAAACAATGAGCATGCGTTTTAACTTTGAAACTTCGAAGTTAAACGCAGCACCGTGGTATATCACTGCTAGATGAAGGCTCACCCAAACCGTGACCATCATGGGGATTGTTTGGCCATACTTTACCACGCTGGGTCACGGCGGGTTGGTAAATAGTGCGGGACCAAGACCGTTTGGGGTTGCCACCCGGCGTTAACGTTATCCGTGGCTGGGAATGTAACCCAGGCTGCCGAGTTCGTAGTTTGCTAACGAGTGCGCCACCGCTCCACCCTCTATGAAAACAGCCACAGCCAAAATAGAAACGGGTTTCTATGTCCGGCTAATCCGACTTTTCAACTTCACAATCCAAAACCTCCCAGCAACCTCAGCCGCCACAGAAACAAACCTCAGCTCACACCACCTTAATTCAATCGTAACACCAACAAACCCAGAGACCCCTGTTTAGCTTGGCAGACTGCAGCAACAACGTGCCGTTGGAGAGTGCCGATTGAAACTGGCAGTCCATGATAGGGTCGTGTGGCCAGATCCACGCGTGGCCACCATTATCTCCACGGCACTCATGTTCACACACCGTGGTGCAGCACGTACCCATATAATGGTCGAGTCGACCTATGTGAGACCCAGGATATCATTTACCACTTTCCCCTTGTTATCCATGGTTTGGAATCAAACCCAGGTTGTTGGGATCGTAGTCATGGTGGCCCAGGTAACTCAGTACGCACAAGGGGGAGGCGGACGATGCTGTCTCAAGTTAAATCTTCACTCAAACTTATTCCACGTGGCGACATCAGAGAGAGATGTAGCGGTGAAGCAAGAATACCACGTGTACTACCGAACTTTGACAATTTAATGTACTAGAATTTCGGCGGCCACCTTTTTTTAGCTCCTACGGAGGGCTTCTAGGCGCTCCGCACCTCGCCCGTCGCCCCCACTGATGTCCTCCCCCCCCCCCCCCCCCCCCCCCCATTGTGTGCAGATACTACTGGGTTGTGCCTCAAAGTTAAATTAGATATTTTTGAATGTTACCCTCCATCCATGACTGCAACCATCAAAATTCTAAATAAATGGAAATTATGTATTTATGGATAATGGATGAAACAATAATTAGATCATACGGGTTGTGGGATTAGTTAGTCTCCCAAGCGCCAGATGTCCACAGGGAGTATTCTTCTAATAAGCTAAATAATTATTTCAATTAAGAAATATATTGTTTTTACTTTGCCGTACCTCAAAAGAAAATTGTAATGAAGCCAGGATAGACCACAACATCATTGGACACCAGATGGATCTCAACGTAAGGGGGGGGGGAGTGAAAACATTTGTTGGGGGGGTCCGCAATTGGTGTGAACCTGTTGGATCAACTTCTTACAACCACATATGGTTGGGGGGGGGTCCACTTTCTATTACTTTTTGATTCAGGCCTTCTAAAAGGCTGTAATAATTTAGTTGACAGACAAACAGAACTCCGGACTTTCATAATAGATTGATAACCACCCTCTGTGTTCTCGGTGAAGATCAAGGCCAGCAGAGCAAGACACTGCAGAGGGCACGGGGTCACAATTGCGCTGGGTAACAAAATACCGTCGGTCGTGACGAAAGTATCAAGATGAATGATTAATACCGCAATGCATAATTCACAGCTGTGTGTTCAGTGTGCTGTGGAGTGGGGGCCCTGACCCTGCCCACGTCACGCCACTCACAGGGGGTTGTTTTACCACGAGTCTGCACCGTGACTCCCCCTGCGATCTCTTACGCCTCCCGCTTTATTAAACAGCTTTGCTGATGTGCATAATGGAGGTTTTTTGGGTTAGATCGCGTAAATAGAAATGTTGTATCATTAAACCCGCCACCACCAGACACAGCCAATTAGTAAGGCTTGTCAAGTGCCAATTGTTACTATTACTGTAAAGCACACCGGTGTGTTGGAGAATAAACCAACAACATTTAGAAGTCGAGTACGACGTTTCGCCAATAATTACGAGCATCAGGTGACAGCCAGATTTGTGGTTGGCGCCTGATGATGTGATCCGTAAAAAAAAACCTTTGTTATGGATAACATTGGTCGCGAAACCCTACGTGTTATAATTTGCTGATGTGAGTTACTATTTTTGTCTCATATTGATTTGTGAAACGGGTTTAATTATATTTTGAAGTGTTACCCCAGGGCTTAACTTCAGGCTGAGCCGTTTTGGGGCTGACCTCCAGAAAAATATTTTCCTGCTATAGGGGAGGGGGGTGACCCAATGGGGGATCTGAAATGAACTTTCGTCATGCCGAACGAATGTCATTTTCGCCACAATGAATGTGGACGACCCACCCGTGTCTGCCGTTGTTATTATTTGTGTAGTGACATCGGGGATGTCACTGTATGGTGCTGGCCTGAGAGGGCCGTGGCACGTGATTCACTGTGATCGTGTACACCTCGTAGGCCGGTGTAGTTCCAGCCCTAGCGGGATTTGGTGTGCGCTGCGATAGCGCGGGCACCACACATAGCGTGTAATGCGGGCTCCCACAAGGGGGAGTGGGATAGTGTCAGCCCAGGGGCAGGGTTGCCCCGGGCCATGGCACTCTGGTTGACCCCGTAGACACGTGATCCGGAGTGTCCACAGAGAGGCACCCAGGTGGGGGGGGGCTAGGGGGCAATCACGTGTCCGGGGAGAGCTCTTGAGAGGGATCGGGAGAGAGCTGGAACGCTTGAGAAGGCAGGCGGGGCCAAGGGCGGAGCAGCCCCGACCCAGGGGGATATAAGGTAGGTCCCTTAGAGGGACCGGGGTCGCTAAATTCTACAAGCTGAAGCTCTACGTCCTACAAGCTGGAAGCTCTACAGTCATCAACACGTGGTCGGGACCCGAGTGAGGGTCAAACCCTTCATAGCTGTAACTCCTCCGTATAGGGTAGTTAGCTGGGTGACCACTACCCGAGGCTGTATCTGGTGAAGGGGCAGTTACCTCTTTGTGTTAGGTGTTGATGTTACAAATAAATGTGTTGCCTCTAAAGAACGTCTACGACTCAGTTGGACTCACTACATTTGCATACCAGTTGCTGGGTGTTCCTATCTCAGTGGCCACTCACGAGCTCCAAATGAGAAGACTGAATTCCCGAGCCTCGGGATGCTCGGTGGCCGTGGTGAGCTGCAACCCAGAGGCCACTGGCTCGATTCGATCTCCCAAGCGCCGCCGCCCACCCGGCCGCGTGTGCACACCACGGTTTATCCACCGGCAGTTCGAGCGTGTGGTGGGCTGAAGTGTGGGTATTCCCACCTCTTCCAAGATGTCTGGTCAGCGTGGCAAAGTCAACCAAGTACCCTCTAGAGAGGGGCTCTTCAGAGCTCCCTCCAGTGGCCAGAGCGAGCATCTGTCGGGCTGCACCTCTACCTCTGTAGTGTTTATAAAGATGAATACACTTCTTAGGAGGCACACTCTGTTTATTGTTATTCTTTCCTTATACAGTCCTTAACACACACAGAAGGGTATACGGTCCCCTCACCCGATACCCTAAGGAGGTACAGCCTCCAGACTAAGCATAACCTACACACAGATCTTCTTGATACCTAAGAGGTACAGCCTCTTAGCTTGGCGGGACTTGCACGTCTACCTCTAACCTCCTTGATACCTAAGGAGGTAAGCCTCCTAGCTTGGCGGGACTTGCACGTCTACCGCTACCCTATCCCAGAGTCCTCCGGCTAGGACCTAGGGGAGGCTATCTGACCCACCGCTGGCCCGGTGGGTCCTAACCACTGGATACGCCGAGCCTTTGCCCTCAGAAGTGCTGAAAGGCTGGTCCAGGGTCCTAGCTAGTCTTCAGCCCGGGCTTCGGTCTTCGTGTAGGGAGAGAACTCCCCGAGCTCTCCGCGGTCACCCTTCTTATACTCGTTTGTGGCCAGGTATAACCAATCCCACATTCCCACGTGGAACTAGCTGAATGGTTCTCCCCAAACTGTGCTACGATCCACTTCACCTCGTCTGACCCCAACCGTTATGTACACCGAGGTAACGCTGCACTGCCCCCTTGATACCTGCTGGCAATGCAGGTTACTGAACAGTGCGTGGTTAACACCTCTACATCACCCCCTCCTTCGGAAGCTCCAGCCAGTCCGGCTGCAACAATGCAAAACTTGAAATGCAACGACGGAAGAATTGTGAGTGTGCCTCACGAACAACAAGAACAAGAGAAAAACCCATATAAATACCCCCCTAACAACATAATGTATATACAAGGCAATAGAGCAGGCGGCGAGTGTATCAAACACGATTAGGAACCGGGAACATGTCCGCAAGCAAGAGAACATCATAAAAAAACGGCGAGATTTAGCGCACGTGTGTTTCGCGGGGCCATCGTAGGGGATGGTAGGCTTCATCGGCGGCACAAGAGGAGGAGGAGGATGAATAAGAACATCCGGTGGGTCTTGAGGCATCTCCACGGGGACACCTCATGCTCCATGGTCCATTGAGGCCGAACGTGGCCTGCACGGAGCCGTCACTCCCATGTCATCTGCAGGAGGAATGACACGCCTGTGCTGTGGTTTAGGCACCAATGGGGCAACATCTGGCTCGTCGGACGCGTCGCACACTCGGCCCCCGTGTTCTGTGTGTTGTGGAGGGACGCGCGGCGTGACGAGGGGTCTCAACCGAGAGGGCTGAACGAACCAGCGATGCCGTCCCCAGTGAATTTTAATACATTGGGGATGCAGGACCTCCACTACCTCTACCGGACCCCGCCATGGGCTGAGGAGTTTTGCCAATGTGGACATCGGCACCTGGGGGCAGTGAAGCCATGCCCTGTCTCCCGGTGCCCACCGATGCGTGGACGTCCGAGGGTCACACAGTCTCAAATTCGCTCGTTGGCGGGAAGCCGAATTTTCAATGGCAGCCTCCCGTGCCTCGGCCAACTTACGGAGGTTGAATTGCAAGTGGTCAACGAGCCTGGATTTCTGCGGTGGCTGTTCGATCTCCAGCTGAATGTCGGCGGGAGGAAAAGCATCCCTGCCGTACATTAGAAAGAACGGGTAAAATCCCGTCGCCACGTGAGGTGCCATGCGGTACGCGGCGAGGACCCCCGGAACCTGCAAGTCCCAATCGAGGTGGGATTCATCGACCTAATGGCATAACATAGCGGTGAGAGTTCTATGCAGGCGCTCCACCATGCCGTCGGTTTGGGGATGGTAGGGCGAAGTGCGCACTTTCTTTGTGCCCAACAGGCGGCACACATCATTCAGCAGGACTCCTGAAAAATGTCTTCCCTGATCGGTCAGCAACCGTTCTGGTGCGCCCTTGTCCAGGACGTAGCCCTGAACAAAGGCATCCACAACGGCCGCTGCCGATTGGTTGGGGAGGGCCCAAGCCATAGGCCACCGCGTAAAATACTCCACCCCAACCAGAAGGTACTTATTACCCCGTGGCGTAGTAGGAAAAGGGCCCAAAATATCGAGAGCCACCAACTCGTTTATACGAGACACCGAAATGGGTTGCAGGGGTGGACATGCCGGTTTGGGTGCACCCCAGCAGAATGCCGGATACATCGCGCAGCATGCCCGGCCAGAAAAATTGCAACCGCTCGGCATCCCTGCTGGCAGGTTCAGATGTCGAAGCCGAGGCGGCGATGGTCGAATCCGTGTGGAGCAGTAGATGTGCATAGATGGTCCGAGCGGCTCGTAGCGAGCACATACTGTCGTCGTCCATCGCTTGGATGATGATGCGCAGCTCGCGCGCCAGTTCCAGCATTTTCTGGAGGACGATAGCGTCGATGGTCTCGTCGTCCATGCGGGGGTAACCCGCTCTTGCCATCGCAAGTAGGGTGGTCCGGAACGCCAACGGAGACTCCTTAGGGCGGCGTCGCCTGTCGTAAAATCGGCTGCGGATGTCGGACGGAGGCCCGTAGACGTCGGACATCCGTCGGAGGGCCGATTGCAGTGTTGGAGATGGTGAGGAGCGAGGCGAGAGCGTCGTCGTCCAGAGTGGCCGGTAGCACTCGGAGCGCCTGTGCGTCCGACCAGCCCACCATTTCTTGGTGGCTCAGGAAGCGACGCTGGAACACCGCCCAGTCGCCCCCTGCAGACGCGAATTCCCGGAAGATGGGCAGGCGCTGTTGGAGGGCGGACATCGTCTCCTCCTCAGCCTGCACCATCTCGAGCCGGAGATCGGTGATTGCCTGGCTGATAGCGTCTACTGTACCCTGTCGGTACAGTGATGATGCGGCGTCCGCTGAGTATCTTGACTTTACAGCGTCGCGCGCTGATGACGCTGCGGGTTGCGATTGGTCCCCAGCATTCCCAGGATGCCCCTGGCTTCCGCTTCCGGCGGGACCACGTGGTTCCCCGGCGGGAAAATAAAAATCCCCGTCTTGGCCGATGGCGGGAACATCTGCCGGCGGCTGATACGGCGCGCCCGCGACCTCCGAGTTGATCTCGTCGAGAATGGAGGCCGCGGCATGTAGAAGTTGGGCGAGACTGCTTTGTGCTGCCCGGAGTCCGTCCCCCATGGCAGGAGGAGCGACCAGTTGTTGAACCGTTGGCTGGGCGGTTGACGACGCGCCGGCATTTTCAGCGGAGTTGGCGGTTCCCGCAGGTGAGTCAGTTTCCTTCGTTCTGGCTTCACATGTGGGCCGAACTTCTTGTTTCCATTTTCAACCACTTCTGACTCCAGTTGTAGTGTTTATAAAGATGAATAAACTTCTTAGGAGGCACACTCTGTTTATTGTTATTCTTTCCTTATACAGTCCTTAACACACACAGAAGGGTATACGGTCCCCTCACCCGATACCCTAAGGAGGTACAGCCTCCGGACTCAGCATAACCTACACACAGATCTTCTTGATACCTAAGAGGTACAGCCTCCTAGCTTGGCGGGACTTGCACGTCTACCTCTAACCTCCTTGATGCCTCAGGAGGTAAGCCTCCTAGCTTGGCGGGACTTGCACGTCTACCGCTACCCTATCCCAGAGTCCTCCGGCTGGGACCTAGGGGAGGCTATCTGACCCACCGCTTGCCCGGTGGGTCCTGACCACTGGATACGCCGAGCCTTAGTCCTCAGAAGGGCTGGAAGGCTGGTCCAGGGTCCTAGCTAGTCTTCAGCCCGGGCTTCGGTCTTCGTGTAGGGAGAGAACTCCCTGAGCTCTCCGCGGTCACCCTTCTTATACTCGTTTGTGGCCAGGTATAATCAATCCCACATTCCCACGTGGAACTAGCTGATTGGTTCTCCCCAAACTGTGGCTACGATCCACTTCACCTCGTCTGACCCCAACCGTTATGTACACCGAGGTAACGCTGCACTGCCCCCTTGATACCTGGTGGCAATGCAGGTTACTGAACAGTGCGTGGTTAACACCTCTACAGTCATAATAAAGGTTTTTAGGTTAGATCGCGTTATTTATAAATGTGTCGTAACCCTCCACCACCCGACACGGCCAATCAGCAAAAAAGTGTCACGTTGACAAAAGACAAATAGTTCACTACTTTAGCCCACTGGTGTGTTGAAGAGTGAATCCACAACATTTACAGTTTGAGTACGACGTTTCGCTGGTAATTACATCCAGCATCATCGGGCAATTCGCCAGAATGTAGTTAACAATTTGTCTTTTGTCAACGTGATACTTTTTTGCTGATTGGCCGTGTCGGGTGGTGGAGGGTTACGACACATTATAAATAACGCGATCTAACCCAAAAACCTGTATTATGAATATTGGTCGCGAAAGCCTACGTGTTAAACTAACACCTCTACACCTCAAACATCAGCTTGACACCCAAGCAGGTCACGGGGCTGTCGAGAGAAGTCCAATTATGGGACTGTGAAGCATTATTCATTTGCCACTTCGTCTTTCGTACGACTGATGTAGACGCAGAGCAACAACTACAATTTCACATTCAGGTGGCCAAGCCCAGATAACCGCGTCAGTAGCAGCGGAGTGTATCACCGCCATGATGTCTCATTCGTATTTGTGGATCGGGCATTGCGTTGTGATATGTTGCATGGTCTGTTCTGGATGACCACAGTCGCATACTGCTGGAGAGTTTTGAATTGTACTTTTGTGCGTCAGGTATCCGCATATGCCATGATTTGTGCGGATGCGATTTAGGGTGGACCGTGAGCTTCGCGGTGATGTCACCACGGCACTTGTGCCAGGTTAGGTGCACGTTGAGACGAGCACGTGAAGTGTGGAAGGTTCCGATGGCAGGTCACGGGACAGTTCCGGCAGATGCACCGCCAGTGCTCGCCACTGTGACCATTTTCTGCAAAATTTTAGCCACCCAGCGCTCCGCTCGTTGCGAGCGTTAAGCCTCGCTTTCCCCTCCGCTGTCGATAACCAACCTAACACCTTTGCACGAAAATTAACCCATTCACATACTGCCATTGCACGGAACATTTCCTGGGGTCCTCCGTTTCATCCATGCCAACACGCAACAGCCCAGACTCCCACGTGGACAGGGACCTGTATTTTCCGGAGCTCAGCCCCCGGGGCTGGACAAGGCCGTGTCTGAGCGCTGCCGCTGTGGGTGAGGTTTTCACTGGGGCAGGAGAGAGCGAGAGGACACTGTGTACACAACGCGCAGCGGCAGGTGTTAGGAGGGGCGTGTGACACGGCGCCTAGAAACCCGCCGATGTTTGCGTGAGTCTGTGGCCACGCGAACCCCTCGCCCCCCACCCCGCGCGTCCCCACTACCAAACCACCCGGCGGGTTCCTTCCTTGCGCGTCCACCCGGCCGCTGGTTCGCGCACTGCCGGGCGGCCACGTCCCCCACTCCTCTTCTGGTGAGTGCCGCAGCTTGTGAACAAGTGTGGGTGATGTACGCACGCCACCGCGCACCGACGTGTGTCCAGCTACACGATGATACAGCTAGCGTGGGGCCAGCAGTCGCCTACAACATCACTGCAACATCACTGAAACATCACCACAACATCACTACTACATCACTACAACATCACACTGCAACATCACTGCAACATAACTGAAACATCACCACAACATAATTACAACATCACTACAACATCACACTACAACATCACTACAACATCACTACATCACTACAACATCACACTACATCACTACATCACACTACATCACTACATCACACTACAACACCACTACATCATCACACTACAACATCACCCTACAACACCACTACATCATCACACTACAACATCACACTACAACATCATTACAACATCACGCTACAACATCACTACAACATCACACTACAACATCACTAAATCACACAACATCACTACATCACACTACAACATCACTACATCACACTACAACATCACACTACATCAGACTACAACATCACACTACAATAACACACTACATCACACTACAATAACACACTACATCACACTACATCACACTACAACACTACAACATCACACTACATCACTACAACATCACACTACACCATCACACTACATCACTACAACATCACACTACAACACCACTACATCATCACACTACAACATCACACTACAACATCACTACATCATCATTACAACATCACGCTACAACATCACTACATCACACTACAACATCACTAAATCACACTGCATCACTACATCACACTACAACATCACTACATCACTACATCACACTACAACATCACACTACTACATCAGACTACAACATCACTACGACACTACAACATCACACTACAATATCACACTACATCACACTACATCACTACATCACACTACAACATCACACTACATCACACTACAACATCACACTACATCACTACATCACACTACAACATCACACTACATCACTACATCACACTACATCACTACGATACCGCGACCACAGCGCGCTGACACAACGCCGCCTCCTCTATCGCTCTCGCTCGCTGTTCTTCCCAAACTGTACAGGTGAATGTCTTAGCAGCAGCAGCGTGGTCAATCCACCGCTGGATGAATGCCTCTCTAAGCCGTCCGCTGCGATGTGGTAATCCACCTAAGCACCTGCACGCGAGCTCTTTAATGGCTCCATCTCCTGGCAGTACGTACTCTTTCGCAGGCGTCACATTGGTTTGGAATGTCGAGCTGCGCTTGAGCGACCACGGCTAACATTAGTGGCCGAGTGGTGTCACCAGCGGCGTGGTGACTGGCAAGGCGTGGGAGGGCCTTCATCCAGCAGGGGATTGGAATAGGGGTCTCAGAAACCATGATCTGATCATTTGAGATACGTGCTATGTGCGTTGGTGAACGTCTTCGCTTCCATTCACAGCGTTGTGCGCGAACAACTTTCCGCAATAACTGATAAACACATAATCGCACTGCGTTTGCTTAATGTCATGTTCGCTACTTAGTCGACAGTAATCATAATAACCACGCCTTCATCAATCCACCGCTGGATGAAGTACGGCCTCTCAACGTTGTTTGGCCATACTTCACCGCACTGGTCTGTACAGGTTTGGTCGTGAAAAAGGGGGAGAGGGGGGACAACCAGGACCTGGTTCAGACACCGCCGTGGCTAGGAATTTGTTTTACAAAATGTAATTCAAGTGGCCGAGTTTCGATATCTTAGTGTGCAAATCACGGCGCCACCGTAAATAATCACAGTTACCAGTTTTACAATGACTTCACCACGCTGATCATTGCTAACTGGTACAGAGAGTACTGTGTGTATGACTGGAGTCTGTTTAAACAGCCTGCCCGTATAATCAATAAAGCTGATTGTTAGCCTTTCGCAATACACCCTCTACAAACACTGTAGACCCACAGCATACAGAAATGGACAGATAGTAAAGTATGGATTTGTTTGTACACTATACCAGTACGGATTATAAGACGCACTGGTCGCCTTGTACCTAACAGCAAACTGTGGATGTGCGTCTTATAATCCGGTGTGTGACCCAGACTTATTCATATTCTTAGTTTTTTCGGTAAAGTCACGTTGAAGAGAAACAACAAAATAATAAAATATATTAAACAGACTTGTGTAACATTATGAGACCTCCTTTGCCACTGTGTACACAACGCGCAGTCAAACTGCAGTTTGACTGCGCGTTGTGTACAGTTTGACTGCTTGTGTTGTGGTCATTGCAAACATGATGCCTTGAATAAAGGTGTCAGTTTTTTGTGCCAGTTAAAAGGGTAAAACCTATTCCTAGACTTGTGTAACTTTATTGAGTCCGTCTTATAATCCGTTGGGTGTATGTTTGTGTGTGCGACCTGATTTGTTTAACTATTAACACCGTGCACGAGTTCAGGGTGCGTCTTACTTCCCAGAGAGTGTGTTATATACCGGAGGAGCCGGTGGGATATTGATAACAGCGTCACACCTCTCTCGGGGTAGCATGGGTGGTGCGCTCCTGCATTTAGCCGCCCTGAGAAAGTGGTGTCAATTCCATTGTTTTATGGACGGTGGTCAGGGCCTCCATAGGACAGGCACAGCTGTTGATTTGCCACAGTGTGGTACTGCTTTTATCGACCAGAAGGGTTACCTGTTAAACTATTGAAACTGTTTTTAATTTGACCAGTTTGCCCCATCGAGCTATATATCGTTTTCAGAACCGACCTGGCCACAAATTATAGCTGAACGAAGTGGCTTACCATGTGGACATTTATAGCAGCCAAATATTCTAAACGCATGTTTCCAAATGTGGAGGGAAAAACCGGAAGACCTGTAGAAAATTCCACGCGAACACGGAGAGAGAGAACATGCAAACTCCATATCTACAAGCGTCAGGGTCGGGATCGAAACCCACGACCTCCTGTGTACCAGGCGAGGTAGTTAACATCTCCTAGCCACCGTGGCACCCTCAGTGCCGACGCTAGGAGTTCACTCTCCTCTCGAGCATTGGAGTCGCTGTTACGATCACTCTGCCAACAACCGCTCGACAGACCCTACCGTCCGAGACGAGATGAATCCGAGCCTGTGGATATGCGGTTTTCGATTATTTTTCGGGCATTTTAATGATCCACAGCAAAAGTGGATGTTTGGGTAAGAATTCACGATTAGCCAACTTCACATAGCAGTTGGTTTTGATAAGTGCAGGCTATGCGATTGCGGTTATCAACTGAACATTGAACTTGCACCTACTGCGGTCTGAAGTCTAGCATGTAGAACCCTCTTGTCAATCTGCTGCCGGATGGGGGCAGTACAGCAAAATTAATTGTTGGACTGTGCTTGTATGGTCCCATGCCTATGCTCCCTTCACCAACCTGCACTGACCAGCGTGATCTATGTATGGTGAAACAGCCCCCATGGCAGTCAAAGCGTGCAGAGAGAGGCCTTACTCATCCAACAGTGGATTACTTGACAAAGGGCTGCACGTTACATTACCAGGCTAAGGCTTGTGGGGTGCCTGTGGAATGCTGAGTGCGGAGGGGTTGGCATTGGCTTGGGCTGGAATCCTGACATTGCCTCTGTAAGCTGGACAGTGGCAGGCGTAGTCTTCTGATGGGACTATGTTAAACCGGCAAGCTATGCTTGTAAAACTATTACGTAGGATTTTGTGGTTGTGCTGTGTAGCTCTCCCAGTTTGTTGTAGGGTCGTACCGTGTGTTGTTTGCATGATGTCCGACGTTTCGCTGCACGCACCAGGGGCTTCTTAGGGACGTTCCTGAAAGAAGCTCCCAAGTCACAACAAAACGTACTGCACATCAATTCAGCCAATATCGTGTGCAGTACGACATGTGGTTTGATTTTTATATATATGCATATTTTTTAAAGGTTGGACATTGAACAATGAGACTTACTCATCTGTATCATCAGCCATAATCGATCCACTGCTGGATGAGGGCCTCCCCCAAGCTTTCATCATCCTTCACGGCCATGCGATGAAAGACTCCGTCTAACTTTTAACTATTTTTTTATTTTACCAGAGGCAATGCCCACTGAGCTATGTAGCTTTTTTTCAGAAACGACTTGGCCACAAATGAAAGCTCAACCAAGTGGCTTATCGTCACCTGGACATTGATAGCAGCCAAATATTACAAACGGATGTTGAGTCTAAATGTGGAGGGAAAAACTGGAGACGGAAAAAAAAAAGTCCACGTGACCACGGGGAGAACATGCAAATTCTAAATATACTGGCGTCAGGGTCGGAATCGAACCCACGACCCCTGCATACCAGGCGGGGTAGTTAACATCTCGCCACACGGGTTGATCACATCGCTCCAACTCTCTGAATGAGTGGCAGCCAAAGGAGAGAACGCGTCTGAAAGTATGCCCACCTGAAAGTCCGTCAACCGAGGAGATGGAGTGATGGGATTGCCTAAGGGTGCATGTGCTACGTGGATTTGTTACATCACAAGGCTGAGAGACGATTACATCTTGAGAAGGCGTTCATGGTAGCAGTGGATAAATCCTGGCTGCTGATGACGATGACCCCTACGACTCGAATAATGGAAACAAAATAAGTAGACGATACCCCTCCTACCCATATTTTGTCTCTCCACATAAAAATGAAAGTTTTTTTTTTTTAACACAGCATCCCATCAGCTACACGTCCTTTTGTTAGTAGTACATCTTTTCAGCATTACAAGCAAAAACTCTGGGCCCGTTTCAAAATTCATTGTCACATCAGCAGAGCCAGGCTCTTCTGCGCCAGTGCAGATTTCTGCGTCGGCCAGGACCCCTCTCGCTTGTCGACATGGGTCCGAGCTCGACACAAAACAAGAGGGGTCGGCCACCGAAATAACAAGAAGAGCCGCTTTCTTATAATTCGGTAAAACAAACTCAATAGCCGCAATGCGTGTGAGTACAAGACGGGTACTTAATCAATAACGTAAAACCATATTTTTTTTGCAATCGCTATTTTAAGAACAGCACACGCACAATGATTTGTAAGACCGCATTTACGACTATATTTCCACAAGAATGTCAGTGTGTAACGCACGTGACGTCACTCCACGTCGACCAGCTCCCCCCATGAATAATCATGAACAGTTTCGATTTAAAGCTTTCGTGACTGCAAGGATTCATCTTATTTGGTTCTTTCGGTAAAGTCACGTAGAATGAGAATAAAATAATAAATTTATAAAATAAAAAACGCAATATTCTCACGACGTTTCGGCCACAACACAAGCGGCCTTCATCAGGTGAAGGGACGAGACTGTCTGGTAGGACAGCGCTGGAGTGAAAAAGCCACGCTCAGATCACGACCTTTAAGCTGTGTCAGAAGAAACAAAGCGCCTTGACAAAGGAATTAGCATATAATTTAGCATTGAAATGGCCAAGTGATTAGCTTGTGACTGGTCACAGAAATGGCTATGTTAAAGTTAAAGCATACACATCCGCAGAGGCACCCCTTGACAAAGGAATTAGCATAGAATTTAGCATTGAAATAACTAAGTTAAAGTATACACATCCACAGAGGCACCCCTTGACAAAGGAATTAGCATAGAATTTAGCTCTGACTTTAACATAGCTATTTCTGTGACCAGTTACAAGCTAATCACTCAGCTATTTCAATGCTAAATTCTATGCTAATTCCTTTGTCAAGGGGTGCCTCTGCGGATGTGTATGCTTTAACTTAGCTATTTCAATGCTAAATTCTATGCTAATTCCTTTGTCAAGGGGTGCCTCTGCGGATGTGTATGCTTTAACTTTAACATAGCCATTTCTGTGACCAGTCACAAGCTAATCACTCAGCCATTTCAATGCTAAATTATATGCTAATTCCTTTGTCAAGGCGCTTTGTTTCTTCTCACACAGCTTAAAGTTCGTGATCTGAGCGTGGCTTTTTCACTCCAGCGCTGTCCTACCAGACAGTCTCGTCCCTTCACCTGATGAAGGCCGCTTGTGTTGTGGCCGAAACGTCGTGAGAATATTATTGTGTTATTTTATTTTATCAATTTATTATTTTATTCTCATTCTACGTGACTTTACCGAAAGAACCAAAGAAGAATCATGAACAGGTTTCGTCCTCCACATGGACCCGCCCCTCATTAATAATCATGAACAGGTGACGTCACTCAACATCGAACAGCCCCTCTCATTAATAATCAAGAACAGGTGACGTCCTCCAAATGGACACCCCCCATTAATATTAGCGGGTGACGTCACTTCACATGGGGGGCGGGGGCGAGGCGCCTCCTCCCCCCTCGGCGTCAACTCACAACCCTCACTACAAAGGCAGAACCCTCACGTCACGTGATCTCCGTAACGCTATTGAGACATAGAAGTAAAAAGAACGTCGTGATAAACAAGGGATTATAACCTTTACATGAAATACGTCTGTGTCACCGCGCCCTTACAAATTGCACACGCATTAATGCAATGAATATATCACATCGCGGTCTGTGCTTTTCGCTTGCAAGTTTCAGATTTACTGCAATACACCCGTCCTAGGACGGACAAAAGGCGAGTTACGAATAATTGTTGGGCTTTTTAGACATTCACCGTTTATCGAAAATCAAAGTAAGATTGGGTTTTTATTTTTTACACTTTGCAATGATGGCATCGGGAGCCACGAAGCAGTCCTTAAAGTGCCCGTGCAATGCAGCGAATACACAACACGCGACAACAGTGATGACGATTAATACGCAGGAGGCTTTCGCGACCAATATCATCCATAATAGTTTGTTTTGGGTTAGATCGCGTTGGAGAGCAAAGCCACAACATTTACAATCTGATTTGCTCTTCAACACGCCGGTGTGCTGTACTAGTAACGAATTGGCATGTTTTGTTTACGTGACAAACCTTACTAATTGGTTGTTTCGGGTGGTGGCGGGTTTAACGACACATTTATGTATTTACGCGATCTAACCCAAAAAACCCTGAATTATGAGTGATGATAATGATGATGAGTGCCGGTGTGTGTGGGGGGATACAAAGCATCGGGAAATGAACGGGAAAGCGCGCGATGATCGCACTGTATGGGAAGACGAGTCTGGCTCAGGGGCCCGACTCAAGGAGGTGGAGGGTATTTACTCGAGACAAACACACGCATGCCGACAACGGCACGGCAGGGCCACCACGGAGAGGCTGCTGCGAAGACGGCATTCCTGCTCACTTGGCTGACCCGAGTCGTTGTCGCCACTTGAGACCCCCGGGCGCGGCGCGGGGGTGAAACACAATCGGGGCATCCGCGTTCCGTCGGTCTTAAGGGGCGCAGTGCTCACACGCGCTCAGTTATCAACACCGGAGCTATAACCCCCCTCCCCCCAAAAAAAATAAAACTCAGCACGTTCGTCTAGAGTTACGCTACAGGACTGAAGCTCCCTATAATCCATAGTCTCACGCATATAAAGTGTGCATAACTTTATAACTGGTTGGGACCAGGGTCGATGCAATGAGTACCACTTTGTGGGGAAGTCAACAGCGGTTGGCAAATGGATATACTTGCCCCCGCCATATGAATGGGGAATTTCCACCACTGGTTCTGTAAACAGGAGATGCGCACCGCCTTAGAAGATTGGGTATGACATGGCCGGGAATCAAACTTAGGTCGTCAGGTTCATCGCGTAGTGCAAATAACCCATATCGGCTTACACGATGAGTACACACTGTGAACCCAGCAACCCGAGTCTGATACCCAGCCACGGCTAACGTCAGTGGCAAGAGATGTTTGGACAAGTCTCCCTCGCCACCCCCCCACCTTTACCAACCCACCCTGATCAGTGTGGTGAAGTATGATCAAACGAATCCCCATTGTGGGAGGACTTAAGCAGCAGATTGACAGAGGGCCGTATATAATAATTTGATTTGGGTTAATTTTTTAATATCACTTTAAATTACAAACTTTGCGCCATTTCAACCAAGGGTGTTTTTTGCAACTGGCCACAAGCCTTGAGTGGGATAAATATTTTCTAAGAGTGATATAATCTGGTTTTTACCCATCCCATCAATTTTCCAAAAGCACTGCACTTGAGTAATTGGCACTTCGTAATCATCACTCATGTTCAATCAACTGCCCCCCAAGCCACCCCCGCCACCCGCCACGATCCTGAGATGCACCAATGCACCCTGCACGTGCACACCAAACGATTTCACCGCTCCATATCCACGCTTTACGGCCTCTCGGACACTTAATTTGAGCCGAAAAAAATCTTAACTGGAAACCCAGGCGTATGTCGCAGTTACACGATGGCGACTCTCACGCATTAGGCTTGCATGACAACTCAAGCGTGTCCCATTTGGCCATTCACATTGTGCTTCCTGCTCGTTACCCAGAGCTTCAAGCCCTTTACAGCTCGCAAAGAGCAGCAATTGAGAGCCCTCTGGGTGGCGTGAATGGGATTGGCTGTGCTCTGACCTCTGGACATTGACGCACGCTCCAGAAAAGGATTTGCGATGTATCGTGGGTGCTAGCTAACGCGTCTCTGCAAATCAAAGTGTATTATATCGCATCTCATGTCAACCATTCCGATGCCCTGCTGCAGTCTGGCCGACAACCCCAGTGGCAAGCATACCGATATTGTACACCACCAGTCTGTACAGCACCAGTCTGCAAATAGGCATCATCGATGGGACCTTTTTGCCAGTATCAAAATGATGAGAAAATACGAATAGGCTTTACCCTTTTTTCCAGAAAATAAGAACAGGGTTCTTTTATTTTCATTTTCCCATCAAATGGACATCGGTCTATCAGTAGGGGACAATGTTGTTATGTGAAGTGTTATTTCGTCCAGATTAAGTTATCTGCAAGTAATTTTTCATATTTAGACCGTAACGCCTCCACACAATTGCCCACTATTCTTCAACTTATGTCACGATAACCTCTGACGTCCACTGTGAAGCAGATGCCTTGCAGTATTTTATGGTTTGTACACGCAATATTAACGAGGACAGCCGAGAACCTCTGCAAACAAGTGACGAAACGTGTAATGGGTTGTGATTGAAGTGTTGTGCGACCTTTGGAAATGTATTTGAACATTTCTGGCGTAGAACTTTGTGTTAACGCCGCGTTTTTTCAGACAAACTGCCAACAGAGGAGTGGTTCCAACCTGAGGTTCGGGGACCGCTGGTGGTCCCTAAGGCCACGGGAAGTGGTCCACAACACCGTTGGTGATACTGCGGTTGTTAGAGCAGCTTTAATAATAAAAAAATGTCACGAGCGCGCGGTGCTCCGCAAACAATTTTTTCAAGGGGTGACAGTGGCACGCAGGGCCCTGATAGGCTTCGAGCTGCTGTGGTAGAGCACAGTCGTCGAGGTGATTGATTGCCGCTGCTTGTTGAGATAGCGTATGCAGTACAGGTGTCCCTCGCTTTAAGCGGGAGTTCGGTTTGTGTGATTTCGCGTACATGCGGCTCACCTATTTCTACCCAAAATTTGCTATATTATGCGGTTTGAATACATTTTACATGCGGCTATGCGGTCGGACGTAGGACAACATTATGTCTACTGTGTGTGTACTGTGTGTGTATTGTGTGTACTGTGTGTGTGTACTGTGTGTGTATTGTGTGCCTACTGTGTGTGTGTACTGTGTGTATTGTGTGTACTGTGTGTGTATTGTGTGTACTGTGTGTGTGTACTGTGTGTGTACTGTGTGTGTAGCATACACGCGACTCGGCAGGCAGCTGTCGTGTGCGGTTTCGCTTTGTGTGCGTTCCTTCTCTGACTTTATGGATCTACTGCATAAAGCGAGGGCAACCTCGATTGAAATGCGTGACAATGTATGCTCGTGAATTGTCTCTTGTTTCTGTTCACAGAAACGCCACCAAGCTGTGCATCCTGACCAATAGACTATTGGGGGTGTAGGGAGAGCAAGCTACCGGTTTCCGCAAGCAGTTGCAAGAATAGCAATCTTGAGGGCTTTTGGAAATTCATCATGATTGTTGGGCTGATTACTAAATTACTATTTCACCGTACATTTACAAAGGCTTCCTTTTTCGATATGCGTGGCTGGCATTGAATGTGCCACCGTTCATTGAGGCTTCGCCTGTAGGGACAACAACGAATGGTGCATAGGGTACACGCCACGCTAATATTAATAGACTGAATATTAATCCATCTAATTGCTATTGCTTCCATGCGAGAGCTTCGATAGAATTTCTGGAGGAGTAGAGACCTCATCATTCAATATCATGTGTACTATACAGGAGATCCAAATTGCAAAACTATACATTTATCTTCTAACTTCGCTTTTAAAGAGACACAAGCAATCATGAATATTGAACAATAACAACATTCAACTGGACGTGTCTGTATGATCTTAATTATTATTAAATTTGATCAATTAAAACGAAAATACCCACTTTTTTACCTGAATGATGATTGTTAAAACCATAAGGTCAATACACAGGTAAGAGTGCTGATACAAAATGAGCAAAATTCAGAATCAGTCCACGCCCGGTAAGGTTACACCGCTACATGTGTTTGCAAATACCGTAGACAAAGAACCACGTAGTAGTCCGCATTTTTTATAACGTTTTACCTGAGCCTATTAAATTTCAGATATTTTTCGGATTTTCAGATTGTTCACATCGTGTCCTAATGTAGCAATATCTTAATGCTAACGATAGTGATGTCACTTAAATCCACGTGCCGTCACTTTTGGAAACAAAACAGGAACTTTATTTCTTTAAGAGTTTTAAAATTGGGAACATATCCCAAACTCGCATTCGGAATTCCGGCCAATATGCAGCAATAAGGGGAAACGAGTGATTGGATCAGATCGTCGTGCTGAGATAGAATGCAGCAACAGCAGCAGCAGCCACCGTCGCAGACATTCAACCTCCTTCGTATGCAAATGACGGGCGAGCAAGACAAGCAGGGACGTGTGCGATTGGACGTGGGTACGAACGCGGCCCCTGGCGCCAAGACCTCCAACCCGTATGCCATCGACGTGGTGCGGCTGCGCAAGAAAGAGCTCTCCCGGGGCATCATCAACACGGAGCAGCTGCTCGAATCGCTTGTGGAGCACGGCGTGCTCAGCTATGACAAGAGGATGGCGCTGTCGACGCTGCGGACACGCGAGGAGCGCAACACGCGGATGCTCGAGATGGTGGCGCGGTCCGGCGAGCGGGCGTGCCGCCTCTTCTTCCACCCATGCCTCAAGCAGGCCGAGCCCGAGCTCTACTCCACCATTCGCCGCTACGTGGGCGAGGTGTCGCGCCAGGTAGGCGACAGCCGACGCCAGCTCATCGGCTACCTGCTCGAGAGAGACAACGGCAGCCTGGAGGAGTTTGAGAATGGCGACGATCCGCCCAGCAAGGTCAAGGTGATCACCCGCAAGCCCAGGAAGATGCCGGTGGGAGACGCCCCTCCGCCCAAGGTGGAGAAGCCGGCACAGGAGCCAGAGCCGCCACCGCCGCAGCCGCAGCCCGAGGTCCTGGTGGTCACCGATGAAGCGACCTTCAAGGCTGCAATCGATGGAGACCTCGCCTACTTCGAGAGGGCTTCTCTGACAAGCGGCGACGTGAACAAGGTGAATGAGAGGAAGGAGACCCTGCTTCATCTGGCCGCCGCACAGGGCCATGCCAGCTTGGTGGAGTTCCTGCTGAAGAAGGGAGCCAAGTTCAACATGAAGGATGTAAACGGGCGAACCGCGCTTCACGCGGCGGCCGAGAATGGCCAAGATGCAGTGCTCCGATTGCTGCTGAGCGCCGGGGCTGACGTTTACGCTCTGGATAACAAGGGGGAGAATGCAGCCGAGCTGGCCTTGAGAAACAACCACACGAGCGCCGCGAGCATCCTTGTGGAGCACGAGAAGACGCGGCGAGACCGCAGGAGGCACCTCATCCACATGGCGGCCCTCAAGAACGAGAGCCGCGTCGTGGCCGCGCTGCTGCAATGCGGGGCCAATGTGGCCTCTCCGGATGAGAAGGACCGCACGGCGCTCTACTACGCTGTTACCGGCGGCTTCACAGAGACCGTGCAGGTCCTCCTGGCGGCCGGCGCCAAGTGCGACCATGACCTCGTCGACATGGCGTTTGACGCCAACAATGCAGGCATGTTTGAGCTGCTGCTGCTGAGCCACGCGCTTGGGGAGATGTCGGACGAGGCCAAGGCGAGGCTCCTCTTCAAGGCTGTGGAGCGAGGCCTCGATGGCACGGTGCTCGCGCTGCTCAAGCAAGGCGCCGACCCCAACGCGGCGGACGCTGGGAGGTCCTCCTACACGCCGCTGCTGCTTGCGGCAGAGATGGGTCACGCGGATGTGGCGCTGGTGCTGCTGGAGCAGGGCGCCCGCGTCGACGTCAGGACGTCGGACTCCAGCTCCGCGCTGCACCTGGCGAGCGGCAAAGGTCACGTGTCGACGGTGCAACTGCTCCTCGGCAAGGGCCTGGCCGTTGGTGTCACTGGCCACCTGGAGCGAACGGCCCTGCACTCCGCGGCCGCCGAGGGCCACCTCGCCGTGGCGGAGCTCCTGCTGCGGGAAGGGGCCAAGGTCGGCGCGGCAGGCAGGGACGGCGCCACGCCGCTGCATCTTGCTGCCGAATCAGGCCACGTGGAGGTGGCCCGGTTGCTGGTGAAGAACGGCGCCGACCCCGGCGCAAAGGACAAAAAGGGCAAGACACCGCTGCACTTGTCTGCGATGGGTGGCGACGTGCACCTGCTCGAGGTGCTGCTGGAGGAGAAGCGAGCCGACGTGAACGTGGCCGATGGAGAGAAGAAGACCCCTCTCCACCTGGCGGCGGGACACGGCCACGTGTCGGCTGTGTCGCTGCTGCTGGCCAGGGGAGCCAAGGCTTTCTCGCGCGACATGGACGGCAACGCCGCGCTCCACTTCGCCGCTGCCGCTGGCAGCGCGGAGGCCACCGGGGTGCTCCTGGAGGCCGGCCGCGCGGGAAAGACCAACAGCAAGCGCAAGTCGGCCGCCGACGAGCGCAACACGTGGCGCAAGACGCCACTGCACATCGCGGCCGAGACGGGGCGGCCCGAGCTGGTGGAGCTGCTGCTCAAGAGCGGCGGCGCGTCGCTCAACGCCCTGGACAACTCGCGCGACACCCCCCTGCACTGCGCTGTCCGGGGGGCCCACGTGGCGGCGGCCAGACTCCTGGCCGGGTGGGCCGAGGGCCCCGAGAAGCCGAACCTGTTTGCCGCCAACGCTCTGGACAAAACGCCGCTGCAGCTGGCGGAGGCAGGCGACACGGACGGTCACCGCGAGATCGCCACCCTGCTCAGGAAGAAAATGAGGATCATATAACAATGTGCACGGCTCGCGAGTTTCCTGACCCGCCCGGTTGTGAACATCAGAGCCGTGCAGGGCATGCAACTCATCAGTGCCGCGCCACATGAGGGTTGCCACCTCTGAGACATACATTTCCGGGACAAATTGTAGGAGTTAAAGGAATGTCTAGACAATACCGGAAGAGGGGAGAACTGCACGTAAATGTCTTGGTGTGGTGTACAGTATGATGATGATGATTATTGTTATTACAAAGCAAATGGCAATAAATACAGGACTTTTAATATCCTGGAAAATCTGTAAGACTTCCCAGGACAGCGATCTCAATGACGATTCTTGGAAAACACAATGTGGCAAAACACAATCAGAATCTGTATTCATCCTGGAGGAATCCGATGAGCGATGAAGCTCTTCTGACCCACTCCAGTAGGGTCCAGAGGCCTTCTCTGCTGGCTTAGAGATTGTCAGAATCAGAAAAATGTATTTTTATAATTTAATATATATTTTTTCATTAATGCTATATGTATTTTACAAAGTTCGTTCCCATCAGTCTATTAATGTCATTTCATGGCTACTCTTTCCCTCAGTTGTGCTGCTTTTACTACAGCTCACATAAATTAGAGCTTTTACCAATCAGATTTTCCACCTGTGCCGTCTCAGCCTCTCTGGGTGAAAAATCTACCCTGAGGCCTTCAGGTTGCCATGTTGGGCGTATTCTTTGACACGCCAGAGCCTTCTAGCTGGCCGAGTCGCCTACGTTCGCATTTTTCGTGTGGCGTGATCGGAGGGCCAGTTAGCTAACTGAAGTAAAACTAGCTAGCACATAATGTAGCATCATTTAAGATGTATTTAAACTTTCCTTCGTGACTTTTAGATTTTTAAATGTAGTGCTTTAGATTTTTTTCTTCTGTGGGGAAGCCTGTTGAATCCTGATTGTGTTATTTGTGTTTTACGGCTGGTTGTTGTGAGTTTGTTCTTGTTTCTTTGGTAATGACATTGATTTGGGCTATGCGATGTTTATTTGTGATGCAGCATCCTCTCATACTGTAATAGTGGTACATCCTTGATGGTTTCAGTCACCATGTATTCATGTCTTTGCCAATTAGTGTATTGTAACTCTCATAGGTGTTGATCCTCGTGTTAAATCACTTTATTCCACTCGATAAAGGTTACTGTTACTGTGAATATGGTGTGGTTACGTCGAATGACAACAGCCTATAGCCCTAGTGTCATGGTGAGGTTATTCGAAGGCTGTTTAATTGCGGGAGGATAGCACTGAAGGCCTCGGTGTAAAATACACGGCCCACCACTGGTAGGGTCAGAATGCTACAACAACACACAAACAACAACAACAAACAAACATGCTATACATGCGACATGATCAAAACATATCCCATACCTGTCAACCCCTCATCAGTGCCCTACCTTATTACAGAACAATTCAGACCTTATTGGTCACCCCGTGCCTTTATAAATCTCAACGTTCATCCTACAAAGGCCCATCACAAGGGAGAAACATAAACAAATAGACATTTGTTTTATTTCGAAACGGCTGTAAAATTTCTTGCACCAGAATACGGGTAAACGGTATGGGTTGATAGGTATATCCGGGTTGATTGAACTTAAAATTTGCAATGTTGGCACATGACAGCACTCCCCTAGTCAAGTATGTATGTTGAACTTCTTTCCCACCGCACGTAGCTAAACACGCGAATCGGAGGTGCGGGCGAAGGAAAACAAACTAAACACAACAAAGCGGTTCTAAAGAAACGAGTTTTCAATCTCCATTGAAAAGTCACGCATGCGTTTTGTTGAAAACCGCACAATATCGAATTCACGTTTTGTTGTTAGAAGGATTCCCCCCCCCCGCCTTCCCAATCATCACATACAGGGGGGAGGGGCCCGGTACGCGGGGGGGGGGGCACGCGGGTGCCCAGTGCGTGGGTAAGGGAGGGTACGCGGGTGGAGGCCTGGGAGGGGTACGCGCTTGGTGGCCGGGTGGGGGGGCTAAGTTGGCTGCTATAAATTTCCACGTGACGATGACGATAACGCCACTTGGTTGAGCTCTCATTTGTGATGGCCAGGTCGCTGCTGAAAAAGAGCTGTACAGCATAGCTCAGTGGGGCCTTACCTGGTAAAATAAAATACAAATGTTTAGTTTATAAGGGTGGGGACATGTGGGGTGCCCCACGGTCACTGGGCGGGGCGGGGAGGTCACTCATGAAGGGGTGGGGGGGGCGACTGGGTGTGCAAAGATGGGGATCTTGTGGGGTAGCGAGCCCGTCTCTCCGTGGGGGGTTCGTATTGTACCTTCACCACTCGCGTGTACAATGCCATTTACAGCCCTTGGTCAATCCACGTGATGGCCTTCCCACGCAGTCACCGCAGTGTCGGTCGTGCGAGACGTTTGACCATACTTCACCAGCCTTGTCAGTGTGGGTTGGTGAAGAGGGGAACCAGGAACCAGTCGGATAGCATTCGCTCCTCGTGTTCGCCGTGGTTGTGAATCCAACTCGGGTGACAGGGTTCTGAGTGCACTGTGTTATCCGCTGCACCATCGCCGCCCTAATTTATCTGTTGGGTTCATCACAGCATATGTTTGGATTTGAGCAATATTTGTTTCTGCATGTATACATTGTTTTATGATGTCCGATGTTTTGCGATGTTGGATTTTCGAACAATATGCGGTAAATAAAACATGCAGTACATTGTCAACAAGCAAAGGTGCGTATGCAACTTGACAGCAACAGCGACTTGCGTCGCGTTGTTTGAAAGCTTCTTTGCAAAAGTGGTGCCTGACTGCTTGGCCGTTTCAAAACAAGCGATACAGCAGTACTTGAATTCATTAGTCCCGAATGTTCAAAAGAGTGAATATAATTGTCTGTCACGTGTGCGATTTGTGTACAGACAGCTCTTGGACGTGCGGGCATAATGGTACCATTGACGCTGCAGTTAACAAGTTTAGAGGAAATCACATTTGAACCCAGTATTATGTACCACAAGTTGGTGTTAATAGCTTGGATATTTTTTTATTTGGCTTACTTGTAACATAAATGTGATGATCATAATGCATATCTACATAAAAGTGAACACATTATTTGGTAATGCTGCATTGTGCAGTGGTGCACAAGCACAAATAACTCAACACGTGATTCGTCAACCACACTGTGTCCTCCATAGCACATGACACATGTGACACATGACGTGCTATGAAGGGCCATTGCCTGAAACGTCTCCTATTGTATATATTTTTCCTCTCAAGGCAGTGCTGTTGACGAATGTGTTGAGTTTTTTTTTGTCACGTATAAAATGTTACAGATATACTGTGTATTTAATTAAGGTCATCACAAAAAAGGTAAATTGTTAACAGGTACACCTTTGTGGTCGGTGGGCTTTCATGGTCAATACTTGCCATTGGCAGTTGAGCAACAAAGTACAATACTTATTTTCGAAATGTTTTACAAAATTGAAAAATTCCTTTTCCACCATTTGGAAATATCTCACATGAAGAAATTATAACAATAAGAGCGTTAATGAGACAACAATTGAATAGTACATCACAATCCCTCATCAAGACAGTTGAAGACATTGTGTGTGGTGTAGGGGAAGGGAGGGGTCTTTATTCGCGACAAGGCGAGCGAGGATGAAATGTTGTGGGTCACTAATAACATGTGTCCATGATAGAGGTTTTTGGGTTAGATCGCATAAATGTCGTTAAGCCCGCCACCACCCGCCACAAGCCAATTAGTAAGGTTTGTCACGTAAACAGAACATGCCAATTGGTTACTAGTACAGCACACCGGTGTGTTGGAGAGCAAAGCCACAACATTTACAATCCGAGTACGTTTCGCCAGTAATTACAACAAGCTTCATCAGGCGACAGCCAGATTTGTGGAGAAATCCTCCTGTTTCGTTCCTTAACTCGAGGGGTTTAACGACACATTTATATATTTACGCGATCGAACCCACAAAACCTGTATTATGGATGATATTGGTCGCGAAAGCCTACGTGTTAAACTATTAAATGTGTGTATGCGCTCGCAATATCCTGTCTTTAAAACATGACTCTGCGTCTCGACATGTGCATCCTGCCAGTGTTTCTCAACTCTCGCCCTCGTGGCGCAGCCGTGTCACCCATGAGCCCAGACCAGATCTCGCGAGATCTCACTTGTCCGTACCACCTGAGGTGACATCGTTTTAGTGGATCCGATTTCTTTACTTGGCCAGTAACAAGTGAATAATTATTCACTTTTGTTCACGACACGAGAGTTTAGCCACCGGAGGTTGTACCGGTTTCTGTTCTGGTCCATGGAATAATGTTACAGCTCTTCAAGATCACCAGGTATCATGCAGTGTGTCGTGGTTAATTTGCATACACGTAGAAACGACTAGTAATCACAAAGACGTGGTCGATTAAAAGGGGTCGGCAGGAATTGGAGCTGAGAAACACCGCACAATGCCATGACCTCCACTTTCCTGCATCTGTGACATTAATGAAATATATTTCCTCTCGGAAAGCTTCAGTTCTGCATTTAAAATGCAACTTGAACATTTAACTCGACACAGCAGCACAGCGATTCCATCTCTCGTGTGTTAACTATGGATGATTCTGCACCATCCGCTTCACGGTGGATGTTGGAGGGCCCGTGCCGTCATTCGAAGACGAGCAGGCAGTCGTGCGCCAACATAACGGTCCACATTTTGAAAAAAGTAATTTACTCGCAAATAACTTAATTGGAAAACACATAGCATTCATCCACCCACACTGCAAGATCTTAGCAGAAGCTCCTTGAAAGAGTTGAGACTTCGGCTTTTCAGAGTAAAAAAGCGTAATAAAAATATATAACAGATTCTGGGTGCTGGGTGAGAAGTATCGACAAGAAAGTTGGAATGGGTTAGAGGCAAACTATTTTAACCCAAACTTTATTTTTTATTTGAAATTTAAATTTATTTATTTTATTTGCTATCTACGTGAATTTGCCAAAAGCACCAATACTATTTTAACCCAGTTTAATATATGTACTTTCAAATTTAACATTACCAATGTTAAATACTATACTATAAAATAAGCGCATTTTTTTCTCTTTTTGGTGGATTCATAGGCTCTATGGATTCTAAATATCTATACAATGTGTTGTGACCTAATTCTCAAGGCCCAATAAAGGTGACCTATGGTAATTTATTACTTTTCAACGATTTATGTTCCCGATGGACGGAAATCGCTAGTTGATACACAGGGGATTATGGCCACTAGGTACACAACACATAAAATCTTACCCACTTTTGTCAATCCACTGCTGGATGAAGGCCTCGACCCAATGCCGTGTCGAGCATAGGGGTGATTTGACCATACTTCAAGGTGCTGGTCAGCATGGCTCTGTTCAGCAGGTGTGTCCCAGGACTGACTGGTTCAAGATATCACTCGGCCACTGCTGCTAGCCGTGGTCGGGAATGGAACTCGGATCTCCAGGTTTCACCGACACTTGCCATGTTGGGGACATGGGGGCTGCATCACTTTCCCAGTTTGACATTTCATCGGTTCTCAGCAGCCGACGCACTGCGGCACTTGCAAGCAGCCGGCGAGTTACGAGCACTTTAAAAAACACACGTTTATAAACCCGCTATTGATTCTTAACGTGCACAGCTTCGTTGATCGATTGTATTAATGTTGTAGTCACGTTGACTGCGCGCCCCCATTGGTCCGTTGCAACAGTTCGCCCGAATTTTGGAAGGAATGCGCCGACGTCCCCGTGACCGGCGATGGGGGAAGCTTGCCCAGGCGAGGAGCTCCGGGGCCAATTGTGTAAAGTGAATCTGGTCCATGGGTATCGCATAACATGGTTTGCCATACATACGCCGAATGCTGAATTATTCATGTACCGATGTTAACTCCTGATTTAAAGTATGTGTTTGTTGTGCAATTGTAAAAATGGTATTTTTGAATAAAGCATATCTTAAATTAACTCAATCTTTGCATGACTATAGGTTTTACCCTTTGGCAATGAAATAGGTATGCACACTCTTTGGGTCTTTCGGTAAAATAATACAAAAATCACGTTTCGATCGCAACACATGCAATCTTCAGGTGAAATGAACTCCTTAAAAACGTTTTTTTTTAAACGGTTTTATTAACTTTGTTGAACTCACGGTCGAGAAGAACGTCAATAATGCGGCGCCTGCGTCCATATCAATGCTTACTTGAATTAATTGCTCCTGCAATTCGTTGACACGGAGCAGGCGCGCCTGAGGCACGTGGCGAGACGATTCCAGAGTTTAGGGACCGCGGCGTTTTTTTACGTCACCCAAATAAATATTTAATTAATGAGCCGTCCATACACAATGTGAATTGCTTTAAAAGAGCCAATTGATTGATGCCGATTTTGATGCAAGCATGCATCGTCACCGGATCTGAGTACGTGTGCAAAATTTGGAATTCATTGGACAACAGGAAGTAGACTAAATTTTGATCGCCAGATTTGACCACGACAAACATAGGAGTCAAGCGAAGTAAAACCGTTGAAAAGAATAGAACTATTTATCTTGCCTCAGCAGTTCTCCTACTGTATTGTCACCTGAAGACGATTGCTTGTTGCCTTCAAAACGTCGTGTTTTGTTATTTTTCTACACGACTTTACCGAAAGACCCAAAGCGTATTAATCCCTGCAGTCACGAAAGCTTCAAGTCAAAAAAATAAAACAGGTGTTAGGAGGTTCAAACACCAAATATACCTTGTCCAAGGAATTAGATCTCCATTAACCACACGTACTTGCGGTGAACATGTAAACTAACATGCTGATATAAATCGGTTTACATTTGTCCAGGATACTCCTCCCCAACCCACTCCACCAATTGCAACGAATGAGACGTAATCTGAAAGCTTGCGACACGTAGCTTGTGCGAATGAGGTTGAAAGAATAAGACAGACCTTTGATCCAACAATGGAGCTGGTCAGTTGCTTATCCACTCTCCCATTTACAAGAACCTGGGGCATACAATGCAGTCCATTTCAAAAGTATACAAAGGACAGGCGTGCACCGTTTATAGTGCTTGCATTACAACGGGTTTCGCCGCTTGTACAACATACCCGAGCAACGGTATTGCCAATCTGGTCGGCGGGTCATTGTGGCAAAAAGTGTTAAACTCAAAGTGGGTGGCACAGGCTGGCAAAGTGGTAAAACATTTGTACCTCGCAGCAAGGACCCTGAGTACGATTCCCAACTCGAGTGTAGGGTTCATGTTCTCACCCTGTTCTCTATGGGTTTGCCCAAAATCTGGTTCTGGTTTGCTCCCATAACTCAAATCTCATCCTACCAAACATGGGCTCCATGCATCACTTGAACGCACTAAAAAAATCGAAGATTTTGGCACAATGTATTTTGTAAATAATTAATCTAGCACATGTAGACACTCTTGCGAAACTATTGCCGGATAAAGGTCTCCCCACACTGTGCACATTTGTGATTTTACCGTACTTCACCACGCTATTCAGTATGGGTTGGGCTGGGGGGGCAAAGACGTGCAGTACAAATGGTAATTTGCTGCACTGCCCTCACTCCATGGGTACACGCTACCAAATTTCGATGAAATATTCACAACTCACCAGTTCCCAGGTAAAGATATTCACAAACAGCTTTTTTTTCCTTATAATTTTATTGGACAAAATACCCAGCACTATGAGGCACACTTTGTAGCAGTCACGACTCGTCAGAAACAAGATAACAAACGACTTGTCCAAACCAACAACTCTACTCAAATGTAGCAAGTGCTTTTTTTCCATCATAAGTAGTTCAGCTAGGAATGTAAAGGCAATGGGACAAGTGGCTAGTTCATGCATTGTAACTTACACGAATCCAATTAGAATCGGTTTACAATGTTTTCCCAGACTCCGGTCATCATAATCCATCAGTTTAACATTCTACAACTAATGTGTACATCTTCAACTGAACAATAAGGACTGAACTCAAACAAAAACAATGGCAGGATGCGAAAAAACTATTTCAGAAGCCCCTGGCCTCAAAGACCACATTAGAGGTTGATAAACAACTGTGCACCATTGCCTTTAGGTAATTTTATGTCATCAGAGCTGTGGTTCTGGTCTGACAGGAGTTGACACGACTGTTGAGCGCCTCATGACTGCTGATTGGTGGAGGGGAGAAGATGTGCAAGACGTCGTCACTGCGGTGGAGTGCAGCTTTGCCTTCTCACTGCTTGGCGAAAAACTCCTTGCTCTTCTGCACATCTGGCTTGATGGTGTCCTTGCCAGGCTTCCAGCCAGCGGGGCACACTGTGGTCACACATCCATGTTCGGGGATTGGCGGTGGGGGGGAGGGGTTTGGCATGAGGGAGGTGGCGTGGAGGTCTGTTAGTTGCGTGCAAGCACGAATTTGCACTAAGAAAATATTAAAGGGTTGAATGTAAAATTCAAGTTGGTCATACAAGATGTAATATTTAAGGTGTAAGAAAATTAAATTGCTACATAAGGGAGTAACCGATAAAATTAACAAAATATTTACATCATTTTGCCATTTGGTAAAATAACAACTATTACTAAAGTACTCTGCAAAGAGGCTGCATACAAAACACCATGCCTTAAGGTGCTACCATGGAGTAATTGTTAAAACACTACTTGCAATCCAGAGGTTGCTCTCCCAGCGTGGCACTTGAAACAATGGTGCAAGTTTCTTTAAATCCCCTGCCTCTGTTCAGACAGCAGGTCGTGTGTGATGTCTGGCCAGTGTGGAAGAGTAGACCAATATATATTCTTGGGTCTTTCGGTAGTTACGTAGATAGGTTCAAAGAAAATAACAAAAACTACGACGTTTCGATCGCAACACAAGCGGTCGCATTTAGGAAAAGGGGGTTAGCTTGTTATTTTCTTTGAACCTGTGACTTTGCCGAAAGACCCAAGAATACGAATTCCTGCAGTCACGAAAGCTTTAAGTCAAGAGTAGACCAATATATTTTAAGGGAAGCTCTGCAAAGCTTCTGACAATGCTGGGGCTTCTGCCAGCAGTGTCATGAATAAGAAATTGCAAGACTGCACCAATACCTTTCTATAATTATCAAATATTGCAAATGGAAAGAGCCCAACGGATTACTGACTGTGGGTAATGTCTGCAAGCACCCCATTCTACCGAAGCGCATGATCGATGTGGGCCTGTGAATAATTATCTTCCCAATGCTGTTGACATACTGCACCCATAATGCATGGTAGATTGTGAAGCAGGCAAGATGCTGAAACAACAAAGTCGTCCCTGCCCCACACAGACTCTTACACATGTACTGTAACTATTCCAACCAGTGTCCACAGATACTCTGTAATTTCTATGAAAAATCGGCTAAAGCCAAGCATCCGCTACAAACAAGGTTTATAGAAGCTTGAGACTGAATTCTGCACTGGCAAAATGTTACTGCTCGAGGTCCTATTGCTTTGGTTGGGAATCCCAGTGGATTTTGCCGAGGTTTCAACAACTTTAAACGATAGTCACCGAACCGTCAATCACACTGTTGGGCGACAGCCAACCCATGCTAAGTGTCATGCCGAGTTACATGATCATACTTTATCACGCTGGTTCGTGCAGCTTGAAGGAGGTGGTGGGTCGGGGGGTAAGACAGACATTGGGGCATTGCAAGGTAAAGAGTTTGATTGTGCTGCACTGCCCTCTGCTGATATCATAGCACCACAACAGCCGATGCCTCATACACCGTGGTCACCCAGGCACAAGCATCATCAAGGCTCAAAACTGCTTGGTTGCCGAGATCTGACGAGACTGGGTGCATTGCTAGCGATCAGGGGACAGACCAGCAGCAAGCGCTGGGCACTCACCCTCGCCATGATCGTCCGTGAACTTGAAGGCCTGCACCAAGCGGAGAATCTCGTCCACGTCGCGGCCCACCGGCAGGTCGTTGATGGTGATTTGTCGCAGGATACCTTTGCCATCGATGATGAACAGGCCGCTGTGGAACACAGGCCAGGAAGGATGGTGGCAGTGTGGTCACAAAAGGTTAAGAAGTCACAAGAAGAGGAAAGGCAAAGAGTGGTTTTATTTCTCTTCACAGACATGTCGGCACCCGACTCATCCGCACTTCCGATTAGCACGGTTGGCTACGTACGGGGAGAAAGAAGTCTAATTATGCATCCACATGGTCAAAAGTGAGATTAAAAGTTCTAGGATTTAATTTATTCAGATTATTGACTCAAGAAAGCCTCAGCCGAGTCAAGGCTGTGTCAGGAGGGTCCTGCTAAGTTCTTGCAATGGGGAGTGACAAGTTAATCATTTCCCAAGCAGTTAGTGATTTATTTATTTGGAACGTGAAGATAGCACATAACGGCCTATTCCTCGAATTACATTATAGGATATTTAACATCCACCGAAGCCAATGGCTTGTGGTATTTTATGGTTAATACATGCATGCAGTATTAACCAGGGAGACCTTTCGGATTTGAAGAGGAATATCTACAAGTGATAACTACGCTAGCTCTGGGCCAAGTCACCGTCCAATGATGACCGTCATGTGGAGTCATAGCAACGTTATATGGGAAGACATTAGGATTTGATATCTGATCAAGAGGTTTGGCAGATGCAAAGTGAACCCACACGTCCATGGGAAAAGTAGTGCATAGGAGGGACTGCTACTCGGCTACAGCTGCTCACGAGATGTTCCAGTGTTTTAAGCTGTTCACCACATTCACTGTTAGGGAGTGTCCTTGAATCAACACAGTTGAGACAAGATGATTACATTTAAAACATCAATACACCACCGATCACTATATCCACGGTGTGAAGACTGAACACATTTACATTTTTTATTTTAAAAAGTCTGTGTCCTCTCCCCGTGTTTCCCGTCTCTTGCCCTATTATTGGTCAGATGTTTGTATTTACTACGCATTGATTATTCACAAGATAATTGGGCAGACGGTATGCTTCCTTGGCATATGCCTCCACAAAAAACACTTTTTTTTATCCATCAGATGTAGAGCCTTCATGGAGTAGATTTTCAGCATTGGTTCAGCTCAAGCAAACGCTGCAGTCTCATCAGCAGCCAGGCTTGCTTGGACCCAATACTGGCGAGCGAGATATGGATCCTAGTTTAACAAAACAATGATCACATCGATGTGGAGAATATAAGTAACAAGATAAATAGGCAGATATTACGCCATGGCATTTAAGAGAATAAAATACAAATCCTGGTCAATACCAACTTTTCAAAGCTGGCTAGATGAAAGCAAGTATAATATTGCAGTAATATGGGTTTCTCAATGCCACTGTACATGTAACCCACCGGTAGGCAATGCCCTCATCTTCCTTGAGTACTCCATAGTTCTTGGCGACGTTGCATGTTCGGTCGGCAAGAAGTGGGATTTCCATGTGACCCAGGCCTCCCTGTTTGCGCGGTGTGTTCACCCTGCAATAGATATGAAACGCACTGCCGTAAGCAACATTCGAACATGAAGATAACTGTACATGAACCGCTCTTGTCAATCCACTGGCATGAGGGCCTCCTCACCGCTTGTGTATCAGTGGGGGTTATTTCACCAGACGTCACCATGCAGGCCAGTTGGTAAAGGCGGGGGAGCAGATAACAAGGAGCATTAAGTTACAGTACAAATTTATGCACTTCCCTCAGCTGCCCATCACGTAGCCCCGCATAAGCAAATAACACTGGTTATGCACGGTGGTCACTGATCCAAATCACGATCGCGGAGCATTCACGCCGAGCTTCTGAGATCGTGACGAGATCAGGTGCAATCTAGGTGATTTTGTCATAGGCTACGATGCTCGGAAAAAAAAGGTCAATCTGGTATTTAGATTAATGAATAGCATCGCAGTGATGAGATGCATGCCGTGGTGACAAGATGTTAACTACCTCGCCTAGTATGCAGGAGGTTGTGGGTTTGATCCCGATCCTCAGTTTTGCATGTTCTCCCCGTGGCTGCATGGATTTTTCTCCGGATTCTATGGTTTTCCTTCACATTTAGAAACATGCGTTTAGAGTATTTGGCTGCTATAGAGATTTCCCCATAAGCCAATTCATTGGGCTTTCATTTGTGGCAAAGTTTCTTCTGCAAAAAGAGCTCAGTGGGCCCGACCTGCTAATATAAAATAATTGTTAATAGTTTATTGATTTCTGGGTAGTCAGCAATCACACCACCCCCTCCCCCCATATGATGAAATATGTTTTATGATGGGCAACAGAGGTCAGTGCAGCAAAATATTTTGTTGTACCGTACAAAGTATCAACTGCCAATGGCCAGAACCATGAGATGGCCAATTAACCCCCATGATATGTATGGCATGAGGAATCCCTCATCCAGCACTGGATTAAGAAAATGGCTTTACACATACAACAGCAATTTTGGCATGACTGACAGCAATGAAACGACGCACCGTGGATTTTCACTCTGTAGCTGTGTGGTGCCAGGGTCCAATGCCCACGTTAGAAATAGCAATAGAATACGTTTTCATAATTTTCATCATTAACTGCTCCACAACTGTAGTGCAATGACAACACCTCCAGATGGTGTTATGCACGACAATCACCGACACTGTTGGTTCTCCACTTGACCATACACCAACGTTTGCGATATGCTCACGACGAAGTCGACCAAATAGTTACTTACTCGAAAATAATTTTGCAGTCAATGGTCTGTCCCGGTTGCCATGAAAGTATTAAACAAAAATAACGAATCTACTGATCAACCCTGTCTGGTAAGCTACAAGCTGCAAATTCATGCCATCAGCTGAGCCTCCATTTATTTAAAGTTAAAACAAAAAAATGCACATACAAATGAATGCATAACATTTATCTGATCCAAACCCCCAGGTGCACTTTTTCTTATGTTAAATCGACAATCCATGGAGCCAGTTTACATAGCATTTGAGGTTTGCAGGTATGGCAGCTAAGCATCGACTGCAAATGGGAGATTTGAAAAACTTGCTCTTCATTGAACAAAGTGCCATGTGGCCTCATCGCAACCACAAACCCACATTTGAAAAACGACTACAATTATACAAAAACAGCATTAATAGAGTACACGATGTCCTATTCACGAGATCACAAGGGCCTTCGGTTGGTTTTCAAATGAACAAATCCACAATTATCTACATCTTTCAAATTCAATCACCTAGGGCCGGAGCTTGGAATACAAAAGGACAAAGCCAATCTCATGTTTTGAGCACCACAAAAACACCCAACAAGGGGTTTGATGTGCACCACAAATGAACACAGTACCACACACAGCTTTAAACCGCAGCCAAGCAACAATCTCCAGGGCAGCGCGATCGATGCGAACGGTTAGACGCACAAGTGCGGAGTGCCCTTTGATGCTTGAAAAAGCTCAAGTGGACCGCGTTCACTGTCCGTCCCGCGAGTGAGGGCTAACGGCAACATTAATAAACACGCAACTTCACCCAGAGCTATGGGCTCATTATTGAGAGCCATTGCAAGAACATAGCCTGAGAATTGCCATGATTAATTAAGAGCTGGGATTGGAGCAACTCCAAGTTTGGGCCTTACTTGTCCAGATAACTGTTTGGAGTGATTTTTGGATTACCTGCTGTGGCTTACAAGTTTAAGAAACATTGACGTTGACGATGACAATCAAACAAGGCTCAAAAAGCATGCAATGAAGAATTGAGAGATGCATGCTTGGAATTATAGTGCGAGAAAGAAGAACACATTGATAAGATAACACATGCAGTTTAGTCGCATCTATACCATTAGAAAAAGCAAGTGGGCTTGGGGAAGACATGTCGCTGGAAGGGTTGACAATGGTGACAAATAATAATGGCGTGGCAGCCAAGGGATAGATCATGTCCGAGAGGACATCCACCGAGGAAGCCGAGTAACAAAATTAGTCCGCGCTCATGTGCATGGTTGAATATTACATCAAAGGATTGTGGGAGGTGTTGGTGGCATGGAAAGGCTTTTATCCAGCAGTGGGTCGACCAGGGCCGATGAGGAGTGCGACTGGGCGTGTGCGAGTGAGAGTACCATGCCAAGTGGCTGAACTGGGAGTCGGTGGATGCAGCGATGACGGCACAGTCCAGCTTCGTGAACTCAGGCAGGCGGTCGTTGAACGCGATGATCTCCGTGGGGCACACGAACGTGAAGTCCAGGGGGTAGAAAAACAGCACGACATACTTTCCTGCAAAGAACGCACCGCCGTGACAAGCTCAAACTCTGACGGAAATTAACCGTAACAGCAGAACAACCATGAACCTAGGAGTGATTTTGTTTGTTTTAGTCATGAAATGCAGCGCGTACAAACACAGCCCCTGCACCCGGTGCATCTTATCAGTCATCAGTGCCAAATCCTCGACCCTCCACTGTGACCTCTCCTGCTTGTGTGTATGCGTACAGGTCGATGACATGAAGTGGTTAGTGTAATGCCTTTATTTTTACCTCTATTAAAAGAGTTAACTGAAATTATGTCTTCTGTGAACTCCCTATAAACCCTCTCTGTAGTCAAACCCACTTGGCCAAGTGTATGATCTCAAAATATATTTATATTACAGCAGTTATTTTAGCACATTCAGTATATGAAAATATTTTCCATACCTGCCAACTATCCTGCCATCAAAATGCTGCCAGCAGCTCTCCCCAGTGGGATTTTTCCAGTAGTAGTAATACGCTCACATATAGCACTTGCAGTTCTGGACATCATTATATCTCAAGTACTTCCATAGGAAATACAAGTGCGGGCACTAGCAAGTTCATACCATCAACAGCATCAGAACATCAACAGGCCGATGCACACATCTCCTTAATGAATGAAAAATTAAAGATTAGCCACAGGGCGATAGTGGCCATCCAACACAAATAATAAACCAGAAAGGAAACAATTGTAGTCTGCCTTCATTTAACGGAGTAGCAGCAAATCAACATAAGACCTTTCGTGGTTATTAGACCGACAATGGTATTCAGCGCCTGAACATATTTCCAGAAGCAAGAATATAATAGTGCATACGAGCTCGTAGCATTATCATGAGGGCAAATCACTAATAAACATAGATTAGAAGTGCAGAAAATGTCTCTGACACACACAGCTGCTGTGGTCTCCTTCTCTGCAGTAGATGGGACTGCTGGATCACAGGTTCCTCCACTTGGCCTAATCTGATCGGTCATTGCAAGCCATGCCTCCCGCTTGAAGAGAGCTCATCAACAGAATATTGGGCTCTCGTCGCAACTAGCCCTTCTGTGCTACTGAATGTGCACATCTCTGAACGGCTGGCAGGCAGCAATTGACAAAACATTGTAAATATTGTGGCTTGGCTCTCCAATACACCGGTGTGCTGTACTAGTAACGAATTGGCATGCTCTGTTTACATGACAACCCTTACTAGTTGGCTGTATCGGGTGGTGGCGGTTTTAACGACCCATTTATATATTTACGCACCCTACCCCAAAAAAGCTCTATTATGGATGATATCAAACATATGCGGGTTGGTCCTCAGTGCAACAGGGAAGGAGTGAAACTACTGCGAAAAGTTTGTGGTTGTGTCGTATAGCTCTCCAGTGAACTTTCCTGAACATGGAGCAAAACTTTAAAACATCATGCCGAACAACAAGTGGCACGACCAGAAATACTGGAGGACAGTGCACATGCGGTATTCATCAGGGGACTCGCGTGAAGGTATACCTGGAAGGCTTGGGACCTTCAGATGGAGTCCCGCTTTGCGCACTATTCAAAAGGAGCTATAGGTAGAAGCCACAAACCCTAAAATAGAACCGGCAACATCACCGCCTCTGCCTGGGCTGATATTTGAACGCCACAAGCCAATGAGGCTAGGGCGAGTGGCTCGCATTCGAATTTTTGCAATAACGATGACCGCAACTGTGGCACGTGCGAGCCAGGTCACAGCGTTGACAGAGGCCGGAAATGCACAAAAACTGGAGTGCGTGCAGTCGACCGAGACAAACGGCAAAGCCAGGGTGACTACGATAAACTGGAGCCGACGGCAGGCCAGACTCACATAGACGCTGCGCAAGCAATAAGAGGCATGGAGACTAATTTCTCTGTTGTGTTAAGAGCGTTGGAATCGCTCGTGTATTCAGTGTATATGCGCGATCAAGTGGTCATCTCTCTTCTGCTCCAAAGTGCAGGCTTTTAAAAGTGTTTTACCTTAAGATTAGGATTTTACACAAACTATAAGTAACTAAATGTAAATCGAAACAACCAAGACTTAAAAAGTTATGCAGGAGGTGCTCAAAGACTGGCTCTTACTACCAAGGTGTTGACAAGACCAATCTGTTTCTACCTGGCGCAGGGAACTTTGATCACTGGGTGATACAATCTGCAGAGGCGGCAACACGCGATTGCTGAACCTCGCCAACTTTGAGAGACCAGATACTTCCGCCGCATGAGTAAACTTTTGTAAACCACCAACGCTTTTTCCTCGCGCCTCAGTATTACATTATTTCAAGATGTAAACATAAAGAACGAAGTATTTAAAATGTTGCAGGCTGTCAGTGTTGCGATCTGCTGTGCTTTTTCAGGAGTAATTTCTGAGCCTTAAACCTGTCACACACCTTTATAGTTGGACAGTTTGATGTCCTTGAATGCTCCGTTCACCACAGCCACACCAGAAAAATCCGGAGCAGGCTTGCCGATTGAAGCGTTGCCAGCAGACATGATGACTCTGTAGTAATATATGTAAACACAAACGTTCTGTATCAATATTATAATACATTTATTCAGTTTTTAAAGAATAGTTTAAGGCCCCACTATTGTAAAAGGCTCCTCCATAATATACAAGCAATGCCAGTGCAGCATTTATACAATTCCATATCTCTATAAAGAGATTGCATGTCCAAATCTACCCAAGGTTGACATGTTGCAAACACATTTACCCTTTCATGGACCATGAAAGGGTAAATGTCAGTGTGCGAAACCTCAGGATCCAATGTAAATATTCACTCTGTACTGGGAACCTTATTAATAAATGACGGCACACGTGATGAACACTGACGAGACAATGAAATGCCAATACGCCCAACCACTTTTGTTCATCTCTCACACGTGATGCAAACCTCCCATGGAACCATCCCGAGGAATGCACAGAGAATGGTGCATTTGGATGAAAATGTATTCCTCAAAGCCTCAAGCAAAAAGAAAGTTGTCCACATCAGATTTTAAACGTTTTAATTACGAGAAAATGTGCTAGTTCGTCAAGGTTATTTTCATCAGGTGAGAACCAATACCTGTAAAACCTAACGTTAACGTTATGGTCAAGAACATCAACATATGCATCATTGGAAAGATGTTCTAAATCATACCAAACATTAAACTAATTTTCAATGGTACAGTATATTTATTCAAGTAGTGTATCCCAAACCTTCACAGCAGCTTATTTCCCTTCACACCAACATTTGCAAACTCCCCCCCCCCCCCCCCCCCCCGTGCCGGTCCTCTACAGCATTTTATGCCAATTCCTTTGTCAAGGCGTTTTTTTTTCCTCCCACACAGCTTAAAGGACGCGACCTGGGCTTGGCTGTCTTCAATCCAACGCTGTCCTCTGGACAGTACGGTCCCTTCACCTGATGAAGGCCACTTGTGTTGTGGCTGAAACGGTGTGATTTTTATTATCTGATTTTTTACCTACGTGATTTTACCGAATAGAACCAGAGTATATGCATCTTAGTTACATATATATGGACAATTGTGAAAGCACATTTATCAATCCACGTAAATGGAAGTTGGTGTTTCATGCTTGGTTTGACTGTAGCAGCCTGTGCATGACGTCACCATCCGTGACATTGTACCAGAGGGCGAGCGTGACATGACGTCACCAACTACTCTACATCTGGTTTGACTGTAGCAGCCTGTGAAAAGTGAAGTGCAGCCAAACAAGACAAACTGCACATCCGCTCTTGTAAAACCACAGGGGAATACATTTTCATTGTTTAAATTATTATATACTTTAACCAACCATGGCAAGTCCATCCTATTATCCGCATTTTTACCCTGTGGATAAAGGTTTAATAACAATGATCTGATACATGACATTTCGAAGATAAATAATTAAATTTGCCGATAAATGTAGGCAGGTAATTAACAGGATGAATCATGAATCAGCTCAATCCTACAGAATACAGGATGTCGTTCAGTGGGAGAAATTTATTTTTACTGTAAAAGGTAAAGCAAAAACTGCATGTTCTTCAAGTTCATATATCCAAAGAACTCCTTTTATTTGCAGTAACTGGGGGGGGGGGACTCATAATGGATCCAATTATCCACGGGCTTATTTGTAATTTACTCTTATCCATGGAGTAAACGTGCAGAAAATAATAAATTTAAGTGTGACCCCTTGTATCTAAATAATAGCGGCTAATAGGAGGAATGATGCACGGTGTAAGCCAATCAAAGATGCCAGTCAATACCTGCGGAAAATAGGAGTCGCGTTTCAAGATTTGTGGGTAGGGGTCGGTGTTGAAGCATGGTGGGTGTTTGCGAATGAAAGAAATCTGCAGCTTGGGCAACCAGCACTTACTGATGAACTTTCAACTCTAGTCACTGGCAGTCAGTCGCCTCATTGCTCTTCTATCGCTACTTCTATCATTAGTTCCCATTCACTTTTCCACTCGTTTATTTTATTGCTCAACCCATGTGGAAGGCACCGTTTGCTTGGCAGTTTGGGCAGTCTTTGGGGCCCGTGCTTAATAAACATTAAAAAAAAAGTTGTGCAAGCTCCTAAAGTTGGGGAGAGTTGCGTGGGCCAGGCAAGTCATGCATGCAGCCACTTCAACAACAGCTGCGGGAAGGGACGTGGGATATGGAAACTGGGTCATGGCGTCACGTCCCCATAGCGAACGTGACCGAGCACGCGGGGAGCGCACAAGACAATGAAGGATTTGCATGTTTTTTTTTTAAACTCACATTTCCTTTTTTTGTCCCTACATTGTTTTGTGTAACAGCAAGAGCCAAGAAAAAAAAACCTCAAAACCAACATTTGATCACAATACACGATTAGAAGATTGTAGGCGGTCGGGGGGAAATGTTAATGAGCACCTAACGATGCCGACACTACACAAAAGGGTATGTGTTATGTCCAGAGGAGTCTCCCAAAGGTAGATGTTGCCACACTTACATGTTTAGACAGCGAACCCCCCGGGATGCGTGATAAAAAGTTATATTAATTGCTACCGATTAATGCGTTAAGAAATCACTCAGAAAAATGAACGGTGCAAAACAATACTGTTCCCATATACACGAGAGTCTAACATACTGCATTAAAACACAGGGGCACTGCACAGGACTAGAAAGGCCAGGATAACAGTATCAGAAAGAGCAAAGGACCCAAGTTCAAATCCTGGTCAAGGTCAACACTTTATACAGCATGACAGTATAACTCGGGGTTTTCCCCTTTTTTCTGGAAACAAAACAGGTGTTAAGATGTTAAAACACCAAACTTAAACCTTTTATAAGGAATCATGTATGCATTAACCACGTATACTTGTGGTCAGAAGGCAAACAAAAAAAACTCTGATAATATATGCATTGACCTTGAAACTGATTGGTCGACACCGGAGACAGCTTTCTTTTGAGCCTCGTCTCAAACGGTGTTAGACCAGAGGACGCCAAAAGGCGTACACAGGGTGTATTTTGGTACTGGCAAAGGAGGTCCCATGAAGTATAACACTCGGTACTGAATAAAGCACGTCCTTGTAACGACCTTTATTCAACCCACTTCGGGACAACGGCCTCCCTACACCTGTGTGGGTAATGGGGATTAATTAACCATACTTCACCACGCCCACCAGCTTGGGTTAACAGCAGCGCATTGGCACTGGAGCACAGTACAGCAATGTATTTTGCTGCACTGCGATCTCTGCTGAAATCAATGTTCCGCAGAAGCAGAACGAGTTCTGGCACATTCCAGGTGATTTGCCCACAGGTTCTGTCCATAGCATCTTCAGTTATAATGTACAGTATACAGGTGCAAAGGTTACATACTGTACAATCAACGTCTGCAGGTCACGTGTCAACTGACATCGGAGGGATATAGCAGTAAAGAAGCCATGAGGTTTGGTGGTATTAACAGCAATGGCCATAACCCACTTCTTGATTTTATATTAAAAGTTAATATTGTCAGCATACACAAATAGTAACATCTATCGTATGCATTACAGCAACATTTGAAACGATTAAAAAGCACGACTGCACGGTGTATTGTTTTATCTCCAAACAAAACGTGCATAAACACAAATGCAAGTGGAGATAGCGTTGAAGACGTGTCACAAGAGCCTTTCAATATTTCGCCACCGAAGGATTTTGCAATAGAATACATTAACGGCTGGCCAACCGTACGGACGCGTGGAAAATGACACTGCCTGCTCCCAAATCTAATTTGTACCTGGTTGGTATACACGTGCCATATTGGGTATGTTCAAGATGGCTGTCACTTTCAAGTCTCAAAACACTGACGATCTCTTCGAGCGACATGTCCCTCCCCAAGCCCACTTGTTGTTTTTTTTAAATTAAATCTGTCGATGTCATCTCCAACTTGTATGTTCTCTAAATCACGTCTGCCACTTTCATCAAAAGTAATTCGTCGCATTCACTCCCAATGCTTCTTTCTGCACTTTTCAGCAAGTTCTCCATTACTCTGTTTGGATAATCAATCGCACCAGCATACATCTGCAAAGAGCGACATCGAGCTGCCGCACCGACACGATTAGATCCAATGACTACAGTATCCCCACAGACGATTTAAGTGCACAAATAATGTAACGTGCAGTTTTCAACTTTGTAAAACGTACAGCCATTTAAAGGGAATTTTTTTTGTGAATAGCAATTTATATCAGTGTATAGGTACAATCATTGATTTTTATTTATTTATAATCACCTTCTTCAAGTGTGCTTCACAAGTGACTCGGTACTTTAACAGAAGTTTTGCCAAGACATTATCCAAGGGAAAATACCTCACCTGAACTTAACCAAACCCTGGCCACACCTCTAGCAGGCAGTCAGACCAGCTAAAAATACCACCCGCCTCATCACAAATCATACTCCATAGGAAGGGGATTTTGTTAAAGCAATTCCACTAAAGCAGGGGTGGGGAACCTTTTTTCTGCCAAAGGCCATTTGGATATTTATAAAATCATTCGCGGGCCATATAAAATTCTCAACTTCAAAATTAGCCTGTTATATTTGGTCAAACATTTAATTAAATCACCCCTAATGTGATGGCTGGAACTGCTTCTCTTTGGTGAGGCGTGTGGTGATGTTAGCTGGTATTAATGATGTTGCTACTCGCAACTGCTTTTCCAGGTTTGCTCCTAAATTTATTGAATTTCGAGTCCCGCCTGCGGTTGCCTTGGCAGGGCCACACCAAATGATTTTGCAGGCCCACACCAAATGATTTTGCAGGCCTTACACGGCCCACGGGCCGGACGTTCTCCACACCTGCACTAAAGTTATCTTCATGTAGAAAATGTGTAAATAATATTTATACCAATAAAATAAACCCATTTGGTGTTCTAAAAAGCGAATTGTTTTTTAGTCCAAGAGGATTTCATTTGATGAAAAATAAGAATAGATTTTACCCTTTCTGCCAATGGAAAAGGTGTTAGATGTTCAAACACCACAGATACTTTTTGCAAGACATTAAGTCTGCATTAACCACACGTACCTGTGGCAAAACATGCAAACAAACATGCTCCGATAATATATGCAGTCTTTGAAACGGACTGGCCTACACCAGACATCCTTCTTGATGAACTTGTCTCACCGGCGTTTAGACCAGAGAACGCCAAAAGGCGAACAAGTGAGAATACTAACATTATCTGGCACTGGTATAAATTTGGTGGCAAGTTTAATTTTACCTGCCAAACTGCATACAGTATAACGCACGTAAATAAATACAGCAGTCCCTGTTGGAGATGTAAAAGTATCCTCGCATAAAGCTACGAGCAACTTTACAGATAGGGCAATTGTATGTAAACAATATACCCCCCCCCCCCCAAGCATATCGCTTAATCTACATTTACAGACACACTCGCCGATCTCTTTGCAAAGATACGTGGTTTACGTCTCGTGTCATGGTGTGTGCCAAGATAACATGGCTGCATTGTGGGCAGTAAGATGGCAACCAAAGATAGAACAAAAGCGATTGCTGTAATGTACTCTGCTCCCACGTGTATGCTCCCCACTTTCGCCAAATCGCACTGACCAGCATAGTGAAGTATGGTTAAATAACCCCATAAACTCGCACGACGAGGCGAGACCCTCATCTAGCAGTAGAATGCTAGAGTTATTGCTAATTTATGAAGGCAACATGCGAGACAATAATGCGATGCCATTGTGGTCGGAATTATAGTTGTGCATTGCAGTATTAAAACGAATTATCTGGTGGCGATGCCGCTGCGTTGGCAGTGGTGCAAAAGCACAAATAACAGAAATTTGTAAATAGCATTGCCTTGAAGAAAGAGTAGAGAGAATATGGCTCTGTGTGCTATATATGATGAAGGGCGACTACCCAATACGCCGCCTATCATACTTGGCAACATTCGCATTCTGCGTGTAAGAAGAATGATCTTACACATCACACAAGCATAACACGCTAACAGTTAGACACTTTTACAGTACGCCCCGCGGCATTTATACTATCGCACACCGCAACACCATTTCGTTAATATTTTACTGCTCAAGTGGAACTTGGCATATAAATGCGTTAAACATTAACGATGTCTTTTATACCGGAACCGAGGGCTGCTCACATCGACGATACGACCTACTGAACTTTAAAGTCTTAAATACTCTAGTCAATACTGTATGTATCTATCATCATCCAACAGTGGACAATGTACCATGCGCTCGAGTTATTATCAGAATCATTGAGACTGCAGGAATCCGCTGAGCTAGGAAGCACTTTTCACACATGTCCAGTCAACCCTAAAATCGAATGTTCTCGTACCACCAATAACAGGTTTCAACATTAAAACTACTCCAACCAATGCTGTAATCAACAGATACAGTCGAGTCGGCTGCGTTGAATCATTAAACGTGCGCGTAATTGGGCAATGTCCAGGATTTTTTTTTTAAACCTTGTTTTGTGAATAACCTTAGTGTCTGCAACAACTCCACGGGCTACCTACTACGCGGGCTTGCGGACCAGAGGTTAGAAAGCCACCCGTGGTAAAGTCTAGAAAGGACCACGGGATTCTGTGCCTCGCATTACGAGGGCGGCAGTGTCCAGGATGTTCAGGATTACTCGGCACGGCGTCAGGAGAGTCCGTGTCGTTTTGACGAGCAACGCCATGGTTCAGGCCAAACGCACGAGTTGCAATGGCAAAGCATGGTGTATACACGGGACTGTATACTATTGTAGCGTATGTATTATATTTATTTAACCGAGGAAAGTCTCGCAAAGTCTATTTTTTTAAGGGGGGGGGGGGAGGGTCATCAATTGCGTCGGTGCAAGTGTTGCGACGATTTGAGGAGCCCCACACGCTACAATGTGGTGGGATGGAGACTCCGCAATAGAATTGCGTCTCCGCGCGTCTTGGCTCCTTCAACCCGGCTTTGACCAGTGTCGTCCCGCTGGTCAAACCTTCACGACGCCGCCCCTTGCGGGGAGGCCCTCGTCCAGCGGTAGAGCGACAATGAGCTGCACCGCATGTACTCTATATGTTATCGTAGATAACACCGGACCCGTGTGGCAAGAGGGCCGACTGCAGGCTGCAAGACGATCAGAGAGACTGCAGCAGCCTGCACCGCGCAACGACGTCCACCATTGGCCCCAAACGTGCACCGCACAGGGTCCTGTCCCATCAGTATCGAGGGCAAATCGATTGCAATCAATTCTTACCCCCCCCCCCCCCCCCCCCCCGCGACAAATAAAGCCATTACCGTGGATGCAGAAAAAGCAATTCTTATATTCAAAATTCTCACGGAGCGAATGGAGCGAGACGTTACACCGCGTTCCAGACACAAAAGGAATCGCGATTTGCCGTCGCTAAATGGAATCGCGACGGCTCCGGGCGAATCGTTAAACCCGATGGAAACCTTGCGGCTTGCACTCGTAGCATCCTGTGCAGTATACTGTACACACAATGCGTAAACAAAATAATCGGCTCACTAAACAATCGTTTCGCAGTCAGATTCATTTCAACCTCTCCACACTCGCCACGATTCGACCCCCATCGATTCCTGGAATCGCTACAGCCTCAATGAACCCCCTCCTCCATTCATTGCCGATGCACCGAAACTAACCACATCGCTGCCATCACAACGCATCACTGTACAGGGGTTTATTTTCGACAAATAAACGCGGTAGGCAAACCCACGCGAGTCGTACAAGAGGGTGGATGCGGCGGGCGCGGTCGAGCAGAGCCGTGGACGAGAGACTCCGTCGTTGATGCTTCAAGCAGCGAGTGGCGCCCTCCGCGAGAAGCACCCGTCTTATATAAGCCCCAAGTCTCGCGAGAACTGGGGGCCGCAATTATCGCGAGACTTGAAACAATGCGCTGATACCACGGATTGCGGCGGTCCGAGTTGATAATGATCGATAATGCGGAGAGAGTCAATGGATTGGCTGTGCCCCGCAGCAGTTACGTAACGGAGAAGTAACGGGACTTTCGTCTCAAGTTGTGTCGCTGTTAGGAGACGTAAAGCATCACCAGTGGCCATGGTCAATCCACTGCTGGATGAAGACCCTTCCTGGGGGATAACGATGATGGGCTGGGTGAAGCCACTACAACCAGGATTTGGACTGGAAACCTTCCGATTGTGAGCCGCTCGCTGTACTGCTGAGCTCCCTAGCAGGTTACATATGCGAGTGGTTTACGTTTTTTTTTATTATAAAATTGTAACACAAAAAATTGTACCCATGTATACTCCACGGAAACACAACATTCTACTTACTATTTAGTTCTTAAAGTTCTTAAAGTCACGTAGGTAGAAATAAAATAAAACAAATCACGACGTTTCGATCGCAACACAAGCGATCCTCATCAGGTGGGACAACCACAGCAAGAAAATGCTGAAGTCGGCTGGAGAGCTGCCGTGCCAAGAGGTCACATAGGTCAGAGAGGGGGGAGGAGGAGAGGGGGGGCTAGAAGTGGGAAGCTGGGGAAGAACGGATAAAAATGTGCGAGTAAACCGGCAGGTAACGATGGAAACGACAACACCCAGTTAAGGCATTACTTGGTTGATAACATCCTTCAAATGATTGTTCAATTTGTATGCATCTTCTGGGTTGAAGTTTTGTCTATGTTTATATATCTGGATGGCTTCATGAACAAACCTTTGGGCCCACTGCATCTCCAACCAACATCACCTAGCCAGCGAACTGGAACACATACACCAAGCCCTCAAGATGAATGGGTACTCGGACCACATTATTCGCAAAGCTGTTTCTCCAACCATGGAGAAACAATCTGAGTAACCAACCAAAACCATCATTTTACCATACATAGCCGGTGTTACCAAAAAGATTTCCAAAATCTTAAACATACACAAGATCCAAGTCCGATTCAATACAGTACACACAATCTCTGATGTAATCCCATCTGTGAAGGAGGTCATTCCTGACATGCAATACTCTGGAGTCTACAAACTGAATTGTACCTGCGGTAGCGGTTACATTGGGAAAACGAAACGACTCTCGGACCGTGTTTGCGAACACAAGGCAGATCTGAAACATGGCAGAACCAATACATCTGCCGTAGCTGACCATTGCTATAACGCTGTGCGCTCGCATGATATTGTTTTTTTTCCGAGACCAAGGTACACTGCAAACCTTCGGGCTACTATCAAAGGTTTGTTAATGAAGCCACCCAGATATATAAACATAGACATAACTTCAACTGAGCAGATGGATACAAATTGAACAATCATTTGAAGGAGGTTATCAACCAGGTAATTCCTTAACTGTTGTTGTTTCCATCGTTACCCACTTCTTGCCCCGTCCACTCCCCCCCCACGTCCTCTTCCCCTCGAGCTCACGTGGCCCCTACCCCACACCCCCCTCTTTCTCTCCCCCCTCTCCTCCTCCCCCCTCTCTGACCTATGTGACCTCTTGCCACGGCAGCTCTCCCGCCGACTTCAGCATTTTCTTGTTGTGGTTGCCCCACCTGATGAGGATTGCTTGTGTTGCAATCGAAACGTCGTGATTTGTTTTATTTTATTTCTACCTACGTGACTTTAACGAAAGTGTGGATTCCTGCAGTCACGACAGCTTCAAATCAAAACATTCTACTTCGTGATACTTCTTTATTAGCGTTAGCCACCACTCAAAAAAACAATTAAAACCGGCAGGCTACCTAAGTGAGAGTAGGTGTGCGTGAATGCTGACCCCAAGATGTCCTTTAAAAACTATTCATCGCGGCAGCTATCCCTTTTTTCATCTACAATTAAACTCCATAACACATATTCTTAGTTCTTTCTTTACCGAAAGAACTAAGAATATGAATTACTGCAGTCACGAAAGCTTTAAATCCATAACACATGTTTTTTGGGTTAGATCGCGTAGATGTGTCGTTAAACCTGTCACCACCCGACATAAAATTATTAAGGTTTGTCATGTAAACAGAGCATTCAAATTCGTTACTAGTACAGCTCACTAGTGTGTTGGAAAGCAAAGCCACAATAGAATGAGAATAAAATAATAAATTGATAAAATAAAATATCAATTTATTATTTTATTCTCATTCTACGTGACTTTACCGAAAGAACCAAAGAAGATGAATCCTTGCAGTCACGAAAGCTTTGAATCGAAATTTAAAGCCACAATATTTACAATCTGAGCACGACGTTTCAATTAAACTGCTTGCTCCGTAAAACCGCTACTCACCCTCTTCCCCACTAATCCAAACCCCTCCACACTCTGGTAGCGCTCCCCCCTTCAGTCCTATAAACCCCCCTCCTTTGTATAACCCCTCCAATCATCTTCCCTGCACTCCCTTATTACAAACCTGTGCCCCCTCCTGCATCACCACCCAACCAACCCTCCATAGTTACCCACGCCTTCACAATCACCCACCCTTTCCAGTCAAACAGTAGCAATCACTAAGGGACGGTCCATAAATGACGTCACTCGATTTTGGACGATTTCTGACCCCCCCCCCCCCTCGTCACACGGCGTCCCAAAAAATCAGACCCCCCCTCAAATATTACGTCACAAAGCTCTGTCCCCCCCCCCCCTCCAAAAAAATAAAACATGCTTCAAATCATATTCTTAGTTTTTTCGGTAAAGTCACGTGACTTTACCGAAAAAACTAAGAATATGAATTACTGCAGTCACGAAAGCTTTAAATCAAAAAATAAAAATGCTTCAAATCACTTTAAACTATTGTTAATGTGCCGCTGCACTCTGATGTTGTAGGAGAAAACATTTATTAAAAAGTCTATTTAATTGAGTTGAACGTGTTGTCTATATTTAAAGTTGCGCATTTTGATGTGATGTCACATTTCTCACCCCCCCCCCCTCGTCACACATCGTCACAAATGTCTGACCCCCCCTAGGTGCGTGACGTCATTTATGGACGACCCCTAATTTAAACCCCACACCCCCCACCTCTTTATCGGTCGCTGTACCAATTATAATTATCAATAGCAAGTCGCCTAAACAAATTAACTGCTACATATTATTCGCAAGAAACTACTGCATATATCGCAGACATAAATATTAAAAATATATATCATTGCTAAACCGCTGACATCAAACTGTAGAACATGAATCTTTCTATGTTTGACATTTGAAATTCGCTCCGACAAGGGCATTGCACAAGAGTACCGTACTGTGTGGTATACTACTGGGGGCCTGTTGCGCAGTTCACAGAGAAGCAATGAGACAAGCATCAATGTGGTTTTAAGGTCAAACGAGGATACGTGATCGGCGTTCCACCCATTAAATACCACTTCCTAGCCCTCTCGGCACGGCAGTTGAACCTATTGTGTGTAGTGGATTCGAATAAGGTGCACACACAACTCCTCGGGAGGCAACACTTATTTATTAATGTACACAACAGTTAACTCTTACATTACGCATAGGGTGGTGACCACCGACTTACTCTAGCTAACACACACTTCTCTAACTCCCAGATACTCTAGCGTGACCCAGCCAGATGGGCTACTGGCAAGTCCACAGACTGGAGGCTTGACTCTTCTTGGCGTCTTCACGATGCATCTTCATTCTTGATTACGGGCAGCCTCGAACCTCGTGAGGAGGCTGCTTTTATGGGCCTCGGCGTGCCTGGGCCCCGCCCCCCTTCGAGAACCCTCTCGAAGCCCCACTGCTGTCCACATGCCCCCCGAGGTGCCCCCTAGGCCCCCGGCCCCCACTGGGGTCCAGTCACGTGTCCAGGCGGGGTCACAGAGAGTGCCACGACCTCACACCACCCTCGTGGCCTCCCGAGTCCATAACCGGCCCTGACGTCATTCCCGCCTCCAGCCGGCATGCCGTCATGTGTGTGTGTAGACCCGCGTGGTCGTGATGCTCCCTCGCATAGTGACGTCACACGTGTGCGTGTGTACACAGTAGTGTACCATCACTACATGTGCAAGTTTATAAAATCACCCACGTTTGTCCACGAGCAGTGTTCATTGGTACACAGTTTATCGGCAGGCTGCGTGTGGTGGGGTAGAGTGTGAGTACTCCTACTTCTCCCAAGACATCTGGCCAGCTTGGAAGAGTAGACCAAATACCCTCTGATAGGGGCTCTCTCGAGTTCCCTCTCGTGGAGGCTCTTCTGGCAGCAGTGTCACGAGCACATAACTTCAGGGCTGCACATTTACCTCTACAAAGCCCTAAAGAATAATGTTGATGAATACTGATGGCTGCAGTTGTTTCCTGCTTTGGTGAATGGCACAAGTGGCGTCAATGTAGTCATGGTTCACTTTTGGAAACTAGAAGGTGTAAGTAATGATAATAGTAATACATTGATAAATACTGTTTTTGAAATTATTTCCAGGCCTGGAATAAGGTTTTCCAGAGTACTATTCCTGAACCATATTTTGGGCTTCTACCCATGCTTTTGTCATAGTTAGGTGCTGTCAGCGAGCAGCTATTGTATGTATGCTGATCTTCTTTTGCACAGTACGTACTAATCGGAAGGCAAGCACGGCGCATAAGGAGTTAGGGTGGCCTGTACCACACTATTTATGCTCAGCTACCTTTATTTCCCTTGTGCTTATATTCACACAATGTCAGCTACTTATTTAAGAATGAGTTAACATAAGGAGGGCTCAGGAAATGTTCAGATACCGCTCGTTATTGATGCTATCTATCACCGAGAACAAAGCCCAAGTCAAGGTTCGCAGTGCAGTGTGCGAACCACCACTGAAACCATAGCATTGCAGTGCTCGGCATAAGCAAACCAAATAAAAGCTTAGTGTCCCATGTGGAGAAATTAGTTATAGTTCAGGTAAATTAGCTCCAATATACTGAACATTTAATTCCCTAATGTTCAACGCATATAGCATAATCTGGCTTGACTTGCTGCCAGCAT